GCCTTCGCTTCGGCGATGGTTCATCTGATTCATCAGATGAACCAAAGATGCTACGACGCAAAGCATCATCCATGCCACGCTTGGCAGGCGGCTTGGATTCGATCGCCGTCGATACGGATCCGTCTTCCGTATCAGGAGAGTATGAGACACCGAGCTCATACTCTGTGAAGACACGAGTGTCTTCATGACCAGCGCCTGCACCACCAAGTGACACAGGCTGAGTCGCTTCAGCAACCGATGAGACATCAGTTGCTGTTGTTTCTGCTTCGGCGTCCGCACAGAGACGTGCAGACGCGCTCTCGGCGGCCTTGCTCGCGCACCGCATGGGCTTGTTAAACATGCGGTGAAACTGTTGGAAAGTGGATTCGGACCAACAAGTGCAAAGCCCGTCTTAGATGATTTGGGACGAGTATCCATTTAGTCAATCAGTCACTAAAGTGACTGATGGTTAAGGGGGGGTGATGTAACGGGGTGAATCGTTACATAACAATTTATAAGAAATTGTTAATAGAATATAACTATAAGAGTTATATTCTCAGAATATTGTCATTAGGACAAATATTCTGTAGCACTTACGAGTAGTTCCTCAATGGTTGATATAGGCCATTATATCAACCAACGAAGACGCGCCACGACAGACGCACGCAGTGAGTGGTGAGCAGATAGTTGATATACACATTGTATTTAGACATAGTTAGATGAAGATAAATAGTGATTTATTGCAGACATTAACTATTATAAATACAGTTCTACTTTTTACTTAAAATAAGTACTCGCTTTTACTTACCGTCTTCCTCTGCACGTACCAGCGTACGTGAAGTTAAGAGGCACCGCCTCATTCTGTCGTCAGAATAAGTAGCTTGTACTGTCATCAGTGTAAGATTGAGGGTGCCCCGTTACAGTTGGCCTCCTGCTTTAGCACGATTCTCCGTGATGAAATTTTCGGCTCAGTACCTGCTACCCCTCGGACAGCTCCATGTACCACCAGCACCCAGTTGTAAGATAGCCGGAGGTCCGGGGGGGGGGCAAAACACCACAGTGGATAGAACCTCGAATGTCTGTGCTACAGCGAACTAAAGACTCCCCAACAGGATTGCCAAAGCACAGAGACCGAGTCTGCGGTCCGTGTGGTGCTTGTCCGCTCCCTCAGCGAACGAGACATGTAAACGTATTTTGCCGGACCAGTTCACTCATCGCAAGTCTTCCAGTGAGCACGGCTTGACGCGGTCGTATCTCTTGCTCACAAACTAATCACCCGTGCCATCGCGTGGCCATGGGTGGTCTGCTTACGAACATGTTGGCTGAAAGTTTCTACTTCTGTCGCACCTCTGAGTAAGCCAGAGAAAAGCGTGTTTCATCCGTTGCGATTTAACAGCCACTGATATCGAGACCAAGCCGACCCCACCGGCCGCTCACGGTGTGTACATAACACCCGGGTTAACTATATGAAGACAGCGCTCCGTATGGGTCGAATGTTTCCACAAAGATTGTTTGTGGAGATTTTAAAGCTCCTCTCCACCCATTGTGGCAGATCAAAGGCCTCTGCCGTGAAGAGTATTCCTAGGACCATTATCACATTGAGTATGATAACACGGAGAGAGACACCAGTCACCACCCGAGTAGCTGTCGCGAGTCAACTTCGCACTTCCCAAATCCGGACAGCCCAACTTACGTCTGCGGGTTCCCCTATACCCACTTGATGACCGAGGTAGCGTGTTGTTTCGACATAAGAAAACACAGGTGTTCCCTCACATTCAGACAAAGCCACTGCCAAAATCAAAAATATGATCTGACTTCTCGTCGGCTGCACAGTGAGCCTTAATAACCTCTTGAAAGCTGCGACGATGCCGAAGACGCATGTAAGACTTCTTGCTCCTTAAAAAAAGTCATCGACGAATGCGGAAAGCTGTCGCCCACCGTGTGTCCCGGGAACCTCAATCCCCCGGAGCTCGCGATGCTGTGTGGTCGCTAACAACAGGACTTCCGCCTCCAGGATGAACAGTATCGGCGCCTTAACAACATCTCTGCTGATACCCCGTAGTGAATTCAATAATTAAGATAGAGAGCTTAAAATAAAAGTTTAGCTGTGGTAGACTCATGTAATTTCCGCATCAGGTAAATGTAAGAACTTGCGAATTCGTTCTCTTCCAGGACTTGAGACAAGAATTTCCGTACCACTGTAACGGGGTAGCCCGTTACGTGAAATTGACACCAAACGGTGTCAATAAGGAAAATTGTCTAGCACGACATTTTTCTGCCAATATTACCCAAGATTGGTGATATTGAAGGAGTGTTATCCCCTTGTAGGATAGTAAATTCATGCGCCGCTCAAAGATTGGTTTCTAAAGATTAGTCAACTATGTATTACCACCAATCGCAGCTAGACGCGCGCAATGAGTGGTGAGTAGGTTGTCGTCATACGACGGCTTAGTCTAATATAGTTAGATAAAGATAAATTGTATTGATAGCTTGACTATATCAAATGTAGTTCTCTTTTTACCTTACTTGATCGAGTTGTTCAGAATGGGAGGCAGTCGGCCGCATGAGTGTGGTCACGGGCGGACCCGCCATCAGTGGTATGTTGGAGTCTCTAGCAGAGACCAGCAACATGCTGCTATCAAGAAGTTCGTTAAGGGGGAACTTGCCTTCGAAAGACCGAAGATAAATTTGCTACAGCAGCAAGGCTCTCATAAGTCGATGAACGGGCCGACGCACATGCGTTGTCGACCCGAAACCTTGAAGATTAGTACCTCAAGGTACAAGGGAACCGATGAAGATTCCTTTTTTGAGATGGTTCGTCGAGTTAGACGACGCCATCAGGGCCCGTCATATCGAGGGTGACGAGATGCAAGTCACCTTCGCCCTGTCAAATTTGACGGGACGAGCAAAGACTTGGGCCTTAGGGATCAAGCTTCACGAACCAAGCGTGTTATCGTCGTTGGAGATCTTAAAGTCTCGGCTTAAAGAGTCATTTGAGCCGCCGAGAGCCGATTCCAGAGCACGCTCTGCACTCTAGAGGCTAAAGCAAGGTAAGCGTGACGTGCACGCTTATGCATAGCACCTGCACTACCTTGCGAGTAGCGTTACGAAAAACCCTGTTGATGAGCTCACACTCATCAACGTGTTCATATACGGCCTTGTGGATGGGCCGGTGAAGACCTACATGTTCCAAGAGGATTTCCATAAGCTGGAAAAGTCGATAGCTTATGCGGAACAAGAAGACTTAAGCCTGAGACAGTCTCAGGCTAACTCGTCAAACTATCATCCGACATGACTACAGGAAACAGGAGGTCCCGAACCAATGGACCTCTGTTACATCGAGAGCGAGAACTCTCGCTCTCTGAGTCACAAGCAAACGGCAAGATGCCATCGCTTTCAGAAGATTGGACACTACGCTCATGAGTGTAGTGTCCCGAGCACTGCAACACGTCCAAAGACAGGACATGATGACCGCCGTTGGACAAGGAAGGGTCCGAGGCGTGGGTCCGACCATGTCGCTATGTCGCGACAGCAAGTCGGACCGTCAAAAAATGGACAGGGTCAATAGGGGCGGAGCACCCTGCTGATCCAGCAACTTCGAGAAAATTCACGGGACGCTTGACGAAGATTGCTCCGAACACACATTCGCTGTGTGTTACTGCCCCTAGTGGTGAGGAGTCTCTCATCACTTTGAAGATCGAATTGACAAGTGGGATGTCACTTCGCTTTCTCGTTGACTATGGGGCGTCGGAAAGTTCTATTCAAGGACAATTGCGAGGGGATAGTAAGCTCAACTATGTTGATCGGGAGTTCTCTCCAACGAGGATGACGGTGTGCCTTGCTACTGGTGCATCGTAACACCGAACAAACGTGTAGTGGGAATCCACTGCACGCTAGAAGGAAAACAACACGATGGTGACGTTATCGTACTAGATTTGTATGACAAATTTGATGTCATCCTTGGTCTGCCATGGCTTAGAAAACACCAGCCATGTATTAGCTGGCAGTTTGGTGGAGTGGGGTTCGCTCATTTTTTTTAGGCGATCCCGACTCTCCACTGGCGCCCAGACGACCGACTAACGGAGGGGGTACTCCGATTCCTCTTGCACTTGTTTCCTCCTCACCTTGTGTACCCGTCTGCAGTGCGGTTGCACTCTTCTAGGTGGACTCGACGAGATGCTAAGCTCGACCGTTGTAGAGATTGGTGCTGATCGGGTGGAAAATTCTCACCCGATCGCGTGTTCTGGGTTGGCGCTCTCCTAGAGTCGCCGTGATCTGCCCTGATCACCTTGTGCCGAACTGTGTACTTGAGTCGCGAGCCTTTCTAGCTACTTGAGCCGTCTCGCGATCTTGTACTTCAATTGATACGGTTGGCTGCTTCCGATCGCAGTAGGGGTGTGTTGAGAGTCCTAGCACTCCTGGCCAAAGAGCTCCAGGAGTGATTGTTCTATCCTTGATGTTGAGATCCTCAGACGTCGGGAGGCCAAAATATCCGACCCGGGAGAAGATCGACACGAATGTGTTTAGAAGAAAATTGAACTATGTTTAATGTTAACCAATCAGACCCTCACACCTTGCCCCTATAACTCAGAAAATCAGATGCCACGTATCGCCTCTACAGATCGCCCCTTGTACCTATGTGGCACAGACCTAACACACCAACCGTCTGATCGCATCAGGGTATGGTCCACGCCAAATCGCGGTCCCTTGATCGCGGCCCCTGATCGCGGCCCCTGATCGCGGCCCCCTGATCGCGGTCCCTTTCGCCGTTCCGAACCGTTCTGAATGGATGAGATACTTCCGTAGATAATCCCAACGGTGCCATCCATATGATTGGTTCTCGTCCCACGATCGTTTCGCCGGTTCCCACTCCGTACTTAAGCATACGTTTGAGGTTTTACGACACAGATCTTAATCGACTTTACCACAACCGCCCCCTGCACAAATAGCCGATCTGCAATATCTGGCTCGCTTGTGCACGTCTTTGTCACCACTTTCCTTTTATCCTCCCGTTCCCTGCCATGGTTTCCCCGTTATCCACGCCCAACTTGCCAATAACAAGTTGTGCGCCATCTCCCTCGGTGATGACGCAATCTGGTCCCGCACCTTCGATCTTCGTTGACATTTTACCACGCGAACACCCAACTGTCCCCGATTTCACTACAGACGCAGTTAAAGGTACCTCGGTGAGCGGAGGTCCGATCGGCCCTGCTTTGGGACTCGATGCTGCTGAGGACCTCGCTCCAAGTACGGAACCGATCCGCTCCAAGTTGACGCCTGATGTCCTTGACAGTTCTGCTGCAAGTGACGAGTTGATTTGGGTCGGAGAATCCGCTACAACCACTGATCCGATGAGCTCCGCGTTGACGCTTGATTTCGTCGAAAATTTTACTGCAAGTGGCAACCCTAGTGGGGATATTCCGTTGCCGACCACTCGAGTTGAGCATCAATAATTGATGAAACGACCGCGGTTGGTAAGATCTCTGGACTTTATCAGCGGATCGCATCCCAGCAGGATATTGAGGATAGCTATCGCGATCTGGAGCAAGCGTTGCGGGGGCAAACTCGGAGGGGTGATCGACCTTTCCTTTTGTGATATTCGCTCAAACTCGTTGTTATCGCCTTCGACAAGATTTGAAAAATGCACTCGCTGAAGTCGCTTTGCTTCAGGAGACAATTCGCGCGGGGGATTGCTACGAGCAGAAAATTAGCGACGTAAAGTCGAAACTTCTGAAAAAGACCCCATCACTTCATACGTTTAAAGTACGTTATGATCTCGATCGGGATTCCTTGCGACGACACATGGATGAGGGGAACGCTCAATTCCAAGCCGTACTCTTGTAGGCCAAATCTAAGAGAGCCAAGTACAAGGCAGACCGTACCAAGGCTTAGACCACGGTTAGCCACCTGCGTGCTGCTCTTGCCGCTGTATCAGTGGAGCGCGATCAACTTCGGGATGATCTTGGTGGGTTTGAAGCTGAATACGACCGATCGTGCTCCTTGCTCTCCGATCGTGACGATCGGGTGGGTCTGCTTCAAGCTACTATCTCGGGTTTGAAGATATAAAGCGATCAGGTGTTGAGCGATCGCGATGTTACTCGAACGAGCATTGCCGCGCTCGTTACCGGCCCCAGTTTACCTGCCTCGTCCCGTCCAGTTGAGACGGCCCCATCTACGAGTGCTCGTGTTAAACGCCCTAGTACTTTTGCTCTAACTCCTTCTCCGCGGACCAAGAGAGCCAGAATCGAGGCTACCTTGCAGTCGGTCGTCAAAATGACACCCAAGACTCGTTCTCCGACTGCGTCCGGTTTCGTCGCCGAGCCTTCTCCGCCGTGTAAAACCCCAAAGAACAACCCTTCCCGATCACCTTACAGTTCCACACGATCTCAAGCAAAACTTACGCCCAAGCCTCCCGCTCTTCCCGGACCTGGTGTTCGAAAAGGTAAAGGCAGAGCGCGCAATCCGACGCCTGCAAAGCTAGCTCGGATGATGACAATTCATCGGATACTGGGCCTCGAACCTTGGCTGCACTCTCCCGATCACGCTCTTCTTCACGGCGTAAAGTCTCATTGGGTAATCTGACGACCCCGTCTTCTACGTTACCAGAGTTGATCGTAGTGGATACATCCAGCCCGGATTTGAATTGCCCCGCCTCACCCGTTGCCGCTTTCCTTAGTCCAAAACCCAAGTTTTCAAAGGTCGAATTGTTTGGCGAAGCTTCTAGCAGGTCAGAGGGTCCGATCAGCGTTACGGAAGACGTCCGAGCCCCAGCCAATAATTTGTTGTCTTCGACCGAGTACAAAGATCTTCCCAAGACCAAAATGCCCCGCGATCAGTGGATATCCGGGTATCACTGTCGCGTACCAAAATCTTCTGTTCAAGTTTCAGCTTGGTCTGCGCGCCAGGTGAGCTGGATTCGCGCGTTGGAATTGGATTGAGAGTTCTTCTATTGCTATTTCGCCAGGCTTAAGCGTTACCCTTTTACAGCCTCTCCTGCTGTATCGAAAGCATCTCCCATGTCTGAGTAGTCTCCCCACTTAATTTCTTCGGCGCAGGTTGCCGCACTTTATCGCCAGGAGCCCTGGAAATCTTTGCGCGTGAAGATTAGGCCCATATCTTTCCAGCCCGTTGGGTGGTTCGAGCAGTTGCTGGACCTATACCACTCTTTCGAGGAGCGCTATATCCAGACGTTGTAGAAAGCAATCCATACCTTGCCCATTTCTTCCGCCGAACGGGTTAAAGATTCTGGGCTGGAGTTATTCTGCGATCAGCGCAAACAGCGGCGATCGCGATCTGGACCTCCTTGGAAAACCGCACTCAAGTATATAATCCAAGGAATGGTAGAAGGCCATTGCGACTTGGTCATTCTGCTAGACCCGGTTTTCTTGCACCTACCTCGCTAACATGAGAAGGAGTTCTGGTATCCCGGGTTTTGGGACTGAGAAGACTAGCATTCCCAACCTGGCTTCCGCTTTTTCGTTGACGAACTCTGCTGAGCCATGGCGTAATCAGTACCGGACTTCGATCGCGAATCACCCAGGCATGTCAATCCCTCGCCTATCCGGTAAGTTTTTCGCCCCGTAGTCTATCGAGTTCAACACATTTCGTGTTTCAATTTCATTTCTTCATACTGTCTTTAATCTTGATCTCTCCGGAAATGTCTTCTACTTCAGGCCTCTTGGGCCGCGATCGTGCTTCGATCACTACACATACTTACAAAAATACCTTCCTCCTTCATACACCGCCTCCTGGTGTAACTTTTCCCACCGTACGACCATGTGCAACCTATTTGCACACTTACACACCCCATCCACCTCGATCTGGTCTAGACTCCTGGCCCTTCTTCGTGCGTTTGCATCACTTCGAACCTATTTCGACTTATCCGATCGCGATCGAATTCTTGTATTAGAGCGCCAAAATACAAGTCTGCTTCATCCACCTATGATGGATCGCTATTACCTTTCCATTGAACTAGAAATTGACGGTGTACTCGTCCGTAACGCGTCTTTCGACCCGATCGGACTCCCACAATTTTTGTCACCTCGAATTCACCAACATTTAACTCGCCTTCCCAGACATCTTCTGGTAGTAGGGCTGCGTCAAAATCGACCCGATCGGACTCGTCTACCTTCAAATGACTTTGAGGATGCTCTGGGAACATCTTCACTGGCTTTAGCTTTGACACATGTACTATCGGGAACAACCTATAGGGGGGCCTGCGATATCCAATTTTACTGCATGATCTCCACATTTTTTTCATTACTCGAAAGGGTCCGTGCCACATATGGGCTAACTGTCGAGCATAGTATCCTTCACGCGATCCAAAAACAACCACACTTGTGCCCTTTGATCGATCTCTAGCAGATTTCTGTCGTCATTGTGACGATACGATCTGTCCTGGATAGCGATCTTTAACCGATCATTCACGATTGCTCTTGCCTGTTGATACTGACGCTGTATGTTACATCTCCATCTTCTTGGATCTCGACCGCGAGGTTTGACACTTCCCATTGGTAATGCTGCTTCCAACGTCGATCGGGTTTCCCAGCCATGAATCAGATAAAATGGTGCCTCTCCGCGGACTCGATTTTGTGCGGTTTTAATCGCATAAGTTAATCTTTTTGCACATTCATCCCAATCTCTCTGGTTTTCGTCAGCGACATACAATATAATCTATCGCATCAGAGTTTGAGCCATACGTTCTGCGGTTCCGTTCGCTTAAGGTTGATGCGCTTTTGTGGCTCGTTGCTTCTGTCCCGGGATCTTGCTGAAAGCTCGAAAGAAATCAGACAAAAATCCTGGCTCTCGATCATGACGGATTATTTCATTCGCACCAAATCTTCGAAATACGCGTTCTCCATAGTTATCTGCAATTGTCTGTGCAGTTTGGGACGATCTTGCTTTTGCGATCACGTAAACCGAGAACAGATTGACCCACAACAGCAACTCAGTATTTCCCTTCAACGATCGCGTTAAAGATGGGATATGATCCATTGCTAGAATTTGGAATGGGTACGTCACTTGCAAGTTGCCTGGAGATCCACCCCGATCTTGCGGGCGACATTTGCCGGTTTTAAAATCAAAAGATTCGCCAACATAGCGTTGCACGCTCCGGTACAATCCTCGCCGATGGAAATTTGCCCTGATTTGATGGTATGTACGGCCTACCCCTTGGTGCCCACCCTCTAGACTAGTATGGTAATGATGTTGGACGTCTTGTTGCAGCAACTCTGTAATTACCAAACAAAAATTGACTGTCCACAATCTTCGCTCTTTGATGCCACCCTGGGGCAGAAAAATAGCAGTCCACTTTGGTCGACTTCGTAGTCTGGTGAGATTTGTGCGCAAATCTTTGCGTCTCTAGCACTCAGCGTGGCTATATTCCCGATTAGACATGTCTTCAAGTCCGATATCCAACATTCCTCATTTCGCGCCTGGTTTATACGTTCGATCCGGACTTGTTGTACAGTTTCTTCTTGTAAAACTGTCTGGGGGCATCGTCTTCACATCGTAGATCGCGTGATCACGGCTACCTTGACTGGGAAATTTTTCTATTTTGGTATCAGTAGTTCATTTAACAGACTAAGGGTCACAAGATCGTCTCGTTTTTGGTCTGATACTGCGACTGTTCCTTTCTCCTGACGTAACGCCTCGCTCGCTAGTCTATCAGCACTCTGATTCCAGTCCCCTTTCACATGTAGCAATTCGTGTTTTGGCCACTATCGGAGTTTCTCCATTGCCTCATGTTTCAGAAGTTGTAGACCTGGTGCTTTACAGTCGATTTTTACCTCGCATCTGTCTTATTACCAAGTTCGGGTCACCACAAAAGATTACCCGACCTCTGATCTAATCGGATAGTGACTCCTGACCCAGCCACAGCCCACGATGTTTAGCCTCGTTTACCGTCAATCTTCCGTAAATTCTATAGTAGCCACCACGATCGTCCATTCAAGCAATTTTCATATTATTGCGCTGTAAGCGCCACCTTTCTCCTTAACCCTAGCCGATCCATCGAAACTGACCACCAGGACACTTTCGTCTACTTCGACTGTGGGTGGTGGCATACTAATGTTTTATCGTGGTTGTTTCCTTGGAGCGATCGCGATCAGCACTTCATCTACATCCTTTCGAGGTGTAATACTTGTAGCCAGCGTACCTAGCACTTCGTCTTCGCCTTTTTCGCACCGTCTGATATCTAACGTCCAGTTCGATAGTAACGCCGCCCATCTCTCTAGTCTTCCGTTAATCCCCGACGACTGCAATAGCCAATCCAACGTCGAAGATCCCGTAAGCACCATAATCTCCCGCGAAACCAACATCGTATAACAAAAGTCTAACATTCAGAGGAGGGCTAGCCCTTCTTTCTCAACAATTCCGTGATTGACTTCGTTGGATTTCAGCGTGCGACTAGAAAAAATGACAGGCCAATACGTGCCGTCATACTCTTGAAGCAACGCGGCTGATACCGCCCACTTACTGGCGTACACCACAATCACTGGTGCTCGATCTGGATCGAAATGTCTTATAATCGGTGTTTCATCAATTTTTCCCTTTAGCAAGTTTAAAGCCTTCACCGCTTCCTTCCGTCGACTTCCATTTCCAGAATCTAGATCGCCCCCTGTTTTTCGGTCCAGATTGCTGCCGGACTCATTTCGCGAATCGTGATCACGATCGGGTTCACTATTAGATACCATTATCCGAACTTCTTTATATTGGCTGATCTCGTGGAAATCTGCTTCCCGTAGCTCGTAGAGCACGGACGCATATAAAGCGAAGTCTTCGATAAAACGACTGTAGTAATTTAGGCTTCCCAAGAGTGATTGCATTGATCGCAGAGTTTGAGGGAAGGGAATATTCGCAATTGAGTTTAAATCCTTGGGGTGGGCTTTCAACCCTTTGTGTGAGACTTGGTGGCCTAGATAGTCGACCTTACAGCGCCCCCAGAAACTCTTTGCCACACTGATCGATAGGTTCCATTGGCCACACACCTCTAGCAATCGTTCCACCTTTTCATACTGGGATGACCAGGATTCAGCAGGTATTAAGCTGTCATCGATATAGGACCTTCGGCCAAAAACTGATGGTCTTGTTACTTTGCTCGGCACTCCGTCAGTGAACTTATTGGTTAGTGTCGACGATGGTACTGCATGCGAGTTAGGTGTTGGGTCGATCTTGAGATAACCATACAGTGTATTGTCGATAAGTCGTTGGTATATCTGGGGAGCGTTTTTTAGCCCAAAAGGCATTTGCAACCATTCAAAAAAACCGACGGCGTGATGAATGCAGAAATAGCTCTTGCTCGTTCCGTCATTTCCACTACCCAAAAACCACTCGCCATATCTAGCTAACAATACCACATCTCTTTATCCAAGTCTTGAAATAATTCGCTGATTAGTGGCATGGGGTATGTCATCAATCTTGTCAACTGATTCACCCTCCTGTAATCGATGCACAGCCGTATGTCCTCCCCATTTTTCTTGATAATCACTACGATCGGAGAAGACTTAAGTTAATGGACGGTTGAATTATCTTGGCTGATAATAATCCCTTGATCAGGTCCGCCAATTTTTTTCGATATTTAGGTGCCACCGGCCGTACTCTTTGCGCGATCGGTTTGGCACCTCCAACATCAATGTCACATACTGCTCCACGCGCAGCTGGAGGCAAGGCGTTCCCTTTGCTTATGAGTAAGTGGCGATTCTTCCAAATCAGTTGCCTCAGCTTCTCCTGATCATCTGTCAGCGGGACACCTGGATCGCCAAACCTGGATGTCATCTATAGCCACTTCCTTTGTGGGCACAATTATTTTTGACAAGAGTGCCATGTGTTGGTCCACATCTTCCGCAGATAAAACACCACTATCGTGGCGATAAGCCACCGATTTCGTTTGAGTCTCGTCTGTCACGTCTCCCTCGCGATTCATTACCGTAGCATTCTGTATCTTTTGATCTGACAATTCGAGCTCTTGATCGTCTCCGACCGGGTGATCATCGCCGATCGCGATCTCTTGTGCTTGTCTGAGTAGGTCGTCCGAGTGTTCCTGTAACCGATAGCCCTCTACTGCCTTCACTGCGGTATTGACCACGGCAGGTGCCTCTAGTGATCGCTGCTCGTCGCTATCGGGGTGATCCTCTGTCACAATCTGGCGTTCTGTGACATCCTTCATCTTTGCTTGTGGAGCTAGCAGATCTGATCGGCTTCCCTCCATATTCCTTCCTTGTTTATCTCCGTGGGTCAGAATCTTCTTTGGGATGGGGCATGACGGGTAATTCACTAAGTGCCTCGAATACTCGATCGGGTGTTCCTTACCTGATTCCGTTGTAGCTTCAAACGCCAGAGTATTCCACTCATTATACCGGCGTGATCCAGCTGATACATAGCCCGACAAACGGGGTATCATGTCCTTCATCATCCACCACTCTAAAGGAATATCATGATTAAAAATCACCTGCTGATCGACGATGTGGTCACAATCAAGTAGTTGATCTGACCCAGTCCAGTATTCACCGTCTTCACCCATTTTTATCCCGTCTCACCCATACTTTGGAATTAGGAAAACCTGCTCCAATCCTTATCTCCGTATATTCTCCAGCAAGAATTATTGTATGTTGGTCTGGGATAGCGATCGGTTGCATATTTACCCCATACGGAGGCCTGCGCCCTGCCAAGTGAATTTCACCTCATCTGGCAAACAAAGCGTACCGTCTGCCAGATCTAACCAAATTCCCGCGGGCACCATAAAGTCCATAACTAAAATCGCTTCTTGGCCCACTTGATCGCCCACCCAAATGTCAAAGTAATACACCAGCGTTCAGTTTGATGTGATCTTAAATTTGAGCCGTACTCCGTCATGTAGGCATTCTCTTCGATTCCTACACATTCCTGTCTCTGGCTGTCATCAGTCACACATCCCACCTTACGAGCAAAGGTGGCGTCTATGATTGATAAGTCGGCTCCAGAATCGAATAGCATGGTCGCCTTCTCGTTTTTGATTTTACCCACCGCTTAAGCCTGTTTAAATCATTTTCATGGCGTGTGATATTTCCATTATCCTCTCGATTATCCCGGCGCTAGATCGAGGTCCATCATAATGGGAGATCGTGGATGTTCATCCACCTTTTTTACACTTGAAACATTACACAAACGATGGTGTTCCGAATCACATGTATTAGCGGTCGGGTCGATCCGCTTGTTACTCCCTTGATCGATCCTGCCCTTCTCCAAAAATGCATATATGCATAGCCTAAAACGCTCGGCTCGTGCCATATTCCATCCTGTCGAGCGTCCTAGTTTAACATCTCTTCTGCCTTGGTCGGTAGTAGTCCTGCGTGCTTGGTTGGGACGTACCACCTGCGGATCATGTTGTAGAACTCTTCCATGGGACATTGGCCGCTCCCGTGAACTTTCCCACAAAGCGGAACACACACGCAGACATTTGTCCGAGGGGTGCCCTGTTCGGCCACACTTCTGACTGGTCAATCTTTTTCAGCATCCGCAATCGTCATGTCTTTTCGAGCAGCAGTGTGTGCAGGCTTTCGCAACTCCGCCCCGATCGCGATCATCATCTCGGTCTGTCTTTCGCATTCTGTCTCGTTATTTTCCTGGGTCTACAGCCTAATTAGTGATAGTCGTCGCACAAACCTTACGGCGTAAATCTTCTTCATCTGCATCGTCCGAACTTGAGCCTGAGACGCTTTCCTCACTTTCTGCACGAATGGATTTTACCATCCGTGGTGTCTTCGAAGATACTTGGGCTGGCGTTGTAGCCGATTGCGGTCGGTACTTGTTCAAGTCAGTCGGATCCTTATTCTGTCTAATACCCATACGCTGATAAGCGCTTAGAGTTTCTTCCATCGTGTTAGCATCATACACTCGCAATAGGGTCAGTTGCTTCGCCAACTCTCGATCATCCAACGTGTCAATGAAGTGTTCTACATGCTCACGTCGGCTTGCTGGCGATCCATCTCTTAACGCCATTTTTGATCGCATTCCTGCTACATTCAACCGGTACAAGTATTCCAACGGGATTTCAATTGGTCTCTTCCGCGCGTGGTAGCATCGTTTTCCTGCTAACATTCCATATCCCCCTTATCGGACCGTGAAGCCTTTCGACAACGACTTCCAGTTATTGCGGGTCGATCGGCTCACATGGCTGTAACAATTTCGGGCAGGTCCTGTGAGCAGGTCTTCAAATACCAGAAACTTCTCGTCGTCTGGAGCCTGATCGCGTAGAAAGCATTCTTCATCTTTTTAAACCAACCTTTAGCACACTTTACGTCTTGATCACGTCCTATAAATTCTTTCAGATCGGTCATCGCCAACAATCTAATCTTCTGTGCGCTACAACCTCCCGTGGGGGCGGTTCCTGCAGTTGCCACTTGTGGTCGTCCTAGATCGTATGGTCCCCTGCGATCTGACTCTTGTTCTCTCGGTCGATCGCGGTATGAGTCTAATGACTCCATTTCGACGTCTGGGACGATCGAGTAGTTAGCTCCTTGTTCTTCGCGACGCGAAAGAATTTGTCCATGGCGGCCTTGAAATATGTTTGCAACTGGCTTGGCTCCACCGTGTTTGCATTCTGTGAAGCCGGAATTTCAGCCGGTCGTATTACACTGTTAGCCGGGTCGAGCCTGTTTTTATGCGTTGCTGCCCCTGTCGGTCTCAGCGACATCCGCTGCATCCCAAACGACTCGTCCAAGCCCATGTCTGATTCTGCCGAGGCATAGCGTGACGACCCCGTGTATTCCTCTTTCACATTGCGGTCGGTTGACTCTCTCTCTTGGCTCAGGTGTTCTTCCTCTCTCTCGATCCGCTGGCTCAGGTGTCCTTCCTCTCTTTCGACTCGCTGGCTCAGGTGTCCTTCTTCACTCTTGATTCGCTGGCTCAGATGTCCTTCTTCACTCTCGATACGTTGGCTCATAGGGTTGTGAGACCCTGTCAGTGGAGTTAGCTTTTCGAACAGGAGCTGTCCCGCTTTGATCACCCGATCGTGAATAAATTCTAAGAGCGTTTGTGCGTCGAAAGCTCCAGCTGTGAATCCAGCGTCTCTTAGCAGCTGAGTAAGCCGATGCAATGCCTCCAAATTATTTGAGATCGCTTTCGGTGGCGATACTAGACCTTGGATCGACCCGATCAGCTTAGGTTTCAGCACCTTTAGGACTGGGTCTTCTGCAAGAAGTTTTTTTAGTTGTTGCCAATGGAATTCTTAGGTGATCCATTCCAATTGCCAGCCTTCTAAATCCACATCCTGACCTTCTGCCTTGATCTCTTTCTTGTTTCGATGTGGCTCTGCCGTCTTCGTCTTTGAATGGGCCAGCTAAGGAGATTGTTTCCTTCCCTCTGGTTGGGCGGTAATTTTGGATGAAGATCTTTCAATTTTAACAATAGGATTTCCATCTGGCAGATCGTGCTGCAAAGCACGATCCGCGGTGGTCCCCGGAAGAACCTCAGGAGGGGTTTGAGGTTTTTCTTCCAGATCAGCTTGGTGATCTTCCTCTTTGACGTTATTGTCATCATAGCCCCTCCCAAAACTTTGATGATCTTGGGATCCTTTCTCTTCGCGCGTCTGTGGCGATCCATATTCCGCTGACGCTCCAATCCCAGGTTCAGTCTTGATTTAAGCATCTTCATCTCGGGAATCCCGAGTCACCAGAAGATTTGGGCACGCGCACCATTGTGGTGAAATGGGGTTCGCTCATTTTTTTAGGCGATCCCGACTCTCCACTCGCGCCCAGACGACCGACTAACGGAGGGGGTACTCCGATTCCTCTTGCACTTGTTTCCTCCTCACCTTGTGTACCCGTCTGCAGTGCGGTTGCACTCTTCTAGGTGGACTCGACGAGATGCTAAGCTCGACCGTTGTAGAGATTGGTGCTGATCGGGTGGAAAATTCTCACCCGATCGCGTGTTCTGGGTTGGCGCTCTCCTAGAGTCGCCGTGATCTGCCCTGATCACCTTGTGCCGAACTGTGTACTTGAGTCGCGAGTCCAGGCTACCTGTCGTGACAGATAACTTCACTGGCTTCAAATTTTCGAAACACACATTCTTCATATCCTTCAGCGATCGTTTGCGCGGTCCTCGACGAACTTGCTCTCGCGATCACATAACCTGAGAAAATATCTACCCACAGCAGCAGTTCTGTGTTTCCTTTAAATGACCGCGGCAATGATGTGATATGATCCATCGCGATCACCTGAAATAAGTACGTAGCCTGCATGTTTCCCGAGGATCTGCCGCGAATCGCGGGTAGATTCTTCCTGGTTGTACAGTCCACTTTTTCGCCAACATAACGCTTTATACTCCGATACAATACTCTCCAGTGAAAATTGGATCTGATCCGCTGATAAGTCCTCCCGACCCCTTGGTGACCACTCTCCAAGCTTGTGTGGTAACGGTGCACAAAATCTTGCTGCAACAATTCCGGTACAACCAGACGGACCATCTCTACACGATCGTCTGATCCCTTAGCGGATCAGGGGATGAAGAAAAGCAGTCCATTATCGTCCACTTCGTAGTTTGGAGCGATCCGAGCGCATAACTTTGCACCTTCGGCGTTTAACTGGGTCAAGTCGCCCACAAGATATTCCTTCAGGTTGGCGATCCAGCTCTCTTCCTCTTGCGCTTGTTTTGACCGCTCGATTCGCATCCGCTGCACTATTTCTTCGTGTAAAAATTCGGATTGTTGACGACTTCGCCGCGCGGATCGTGTGCTCGCTATCATTTTCACCACGTGATCCGTCCTTTCCGGCAAAAGCAATTCGTGCAGCCTGCTGAGTGATATCAAATCTTGCAATTCATAGTTTAAACTTACAATGACACTTTCCTCTTGCTGCAAAGCTGCACTGGCTAGTCGATCCGCGCTTTGGTTCCACTCCCTCTTCATGTGCAGGAGCTCGTGTTTTGGCCAAGATCGAAGTTTCTGCATACTTAATGATGCAACAACTGTAGCCCGGCGATTTACAATCCATCTCTCCCCGCATTTTTCTGATCACTAGGTTCGAGTCACTACAGATAATGACTCGTCCCCTAGTTTGGTTGTCCAGCAGATCAAGACCCAACAACATGCCACGATATTCTGCTGCATTCACCGTCAGATCTGCCGCGTATTCCGAAGCGGCTGAGATGATGGTCCATTCTGGTAGCTTCCACACGATCGCAATTTATGCCCCGCTTTTCCGTTTAGTCCGTGCCGATCCGTCGAAATTGACCACCAACAGACATACGTCCACACCCACCGTGGGAGGTAGCATAGTTACCAACTGTTTAGGTTTCTTCTGTGGACTGATCGCAATCAACACATCATCTGCCTCATCTTGCGAAGTTACACTAGCTGCGAGAGCGCCTAGTATTTCATCCTCTCCTTTGTTACATCTCTTGACCTCCAGTGTCCAATTCGATAGCAGCGCAGCCCATCTTCTCAGTCTCCCATTGAGACCAGAAGATTTAACTAGCCAAGCTTATGTTGATTATCGAGTGAGCACCCTGATCTCCCGGGATACAAGCATGGTGTAGCACACTTCCAAGGTTTGAAGTAGGGCTACAACTTCTTTCTCCACCATACCATAACTAGCTTCATTAGGCTTCAGTGTGCAACTCGTTAATGTCACCGGCCAGGATACGCCGTCATATTCTTGCAATAGAGATGCCCATATGCCCACTTACTAGCATATACCACGATCACTGGTGTTAGAATTAACTAGGTTGCGGTGCTGATGAGAAGAAGAAGATGGCTTACGGCCGGGGATGAAAACCAAAAAGTGAGTTGTATTCAAATTGTTCCTAGCTCTCCAAACGAATGGCTGGTAGTAGCCGGTGGCTTTCAGCCACCTATTTCGTGCCCTGTCTCCACCGCTTTCTGTTTTACCTATCCCTGGGTAATTACGTCTCGTAAATACCTTTCGTAAAAAATCTGCTGTGTCATATGCAGAATGAAAATGATTGCGTGGGTGGGGGGCGTAACTGCGGGCGGGTCACAGTTCTGGTGAACCCCAAACACCAGGTCGTGAGTGTCAGTCACAATTAACTTGTTCACGGCGGGGATCAAACTCGCACTCACCCGCGTGGAATCCCCATTCCAAAACGACTGAGCCAATCCGATGACTTGTCGCATCGCTAACATCCCACAATATAAACCTGCCAAAGAACAATACAACTAATGCAAATATGCAATATACACCCTGCACAAGTCGCCGCATCATCACTCGCTAACAACTGGAAGTCGATCCGGATCGAAATTTTTGAGGATCAGGGTTGTAGCGATCTTGGCCTTCAGCAAAGTGAATGTAATGGCGGCCTTTTCTCACCGAGATTGCTCATATGGTTCATGCTCACACTTTTGTAATGTGTTATCGCAACTTCCTGACATTGCATCGCGATCTCCCATATGGCTCATCTCGAAAAATCCGCCTCTCGTAACTCGTACAAAACCGATGCATGTCCTGTAAAATACTTTATAAAACGACTGTAATACTTCAAGCTACCTAGGAACGATTGCATGGATCGCAAAATTGTGAGAAAAGGAATGTTGAACAGCAATCCTAGATCTTTAGGATTGGCCTCCAACCCAGCCAAAGATACCTGATGATCTAAGTAAATCACCTTACGCCGTCCCTATAACTCTTGGTCGGACTGATTGACAAATTCCATCGATCGCATGCTGTCAATAATCTTTCGACCTTATCGTACAAAGATGTCCATGACGTATTTAAGATCAATAGATTGTCACTATAAAATCGTCTACCCAGCACTGACGGCGCTTGACACGTTTTCGGCTCTTCCACAGTAAACACATCAGTTAACTTAGGATGATCCGTTACACTCACATCCTTATCTTTAATGATCTTGAGATAACCATATAGAGAATTATCAATCAAACGCTGATAGATATGTGGGGCGTTCTTCAATAAAAGGCATCCGCAACCATTCAAACAACCCTGACGGCGTGATAAACGCAGAGATCGATCTTGCTCATTCGGTCATTTCTACCACATAAAATCCACTCGCCATGTTCAGCGAACAATACCACATTGCTTTGTCCGTGTCCTGCAACGATTCACTGATAAGTGGCATAAGGTACACCATCATCTGTTTTAGCTGATTAACTCGTCGATAGTCGATACACAGTCGACTATCGGCGAATTAATCAGCTATCTTTATAGATCACGACTATTGGTGATGCCCACGGCGATGTCGAAGGTCGGATAATCTTGGCTGACAACAAACCTTTAATCAGATCGGCCAACTTCTCACGAAACTTTGGCGCAACAGGTCGTACCAGCTGAGCGATAGGCCTCGCCTCTCCCACATCAATATCACAAACGTCCCCGCGTGCTGAAGGGGGTAATGTATCTCCTTTCCCGATCAACAGGTGACGACTCCTCCATATCAGTCGTCGCAAATTCTATTGATCCTCTATCAAGAGTATTACAGGATCGCCAACCTGGACATCGTCTCTTGCTATCTCGGTCGTGGATATGGTTACCTCCGGCAGTACAGCCATGTGTTGTTCCACATATTTTGCGAACCGTTTACCTCCCTCGTGGTAGTATGTCGATTCATCCAGTACATCATTTTCCATCACTTCGCCGTCGATCGTAACAGCTTTCACGTCGTTATCCAGACGTGTAGACTGGCCATACACCTCCCCATCTTCAACCTTAATCCCGTCTGGGTGACAGTTGGACTGTCCTTGTAGCGGATCAGTTATCTCATGGTTGTCTTGTGGTATCATAGCCTCTTCTGCAACCATGTCCTCTTCACCCGAATGTTCTGGCGTCTTCCGCACAGCGTTGACCGCACACGATCTCTTTGTAGATCTATCATCCTTGACTTTGTTGTTCTTTCCACTCTTACATTCGTCCTGCAACTCCTCATTAAAGTCACCATTAGATTCGGATAGTGAGGCGATCTCTGCAGAATCCTTGATGTCGTCTGATTTCCGTTTTGAGCGTGTCAAAATTCGGGTAGGTTTTTCACACGTAGGATGATCCACTAACGGTCCCGTGCAGACTTTGGCTTCTTTTATCTCGATCCGTAGTGGCTTCAAAAGCCAATTTCTGCCATTCCATGTACTGCCGCGATCCTACAGACATTTATCCTTTAGATCGCGGGATCACGTCTCCTGTCAACCACAATGCTGAAGGGGCCCCGCAGTTTAAGATCAAGTCACGATCGCTTACACTTGTACGCTACAGGAACCTAATCCTTCCGGGACCATTCGTCACGGTAGGAATTCACGCCACATCCCGTCGCACCCAAAGCTTAGATTTAGGAGAATTGACGCCGATCCTGACTTCTGCTGATTTGCCGGCCGCAATGGCTATATGTTGATCGTTAATGTTGACCGCCGATGTATTCGATCAGTAAGGGGTCTTCGTACAGCTAGACAGATTCGAACTTGATCGGGCAGGAAAAGAATTCCTTCGGCCAAATCCAAACGGATATCTGCAGGAAACCATGAAGTCCATGCCTAGTATATCTTCTTGACCGACTTGATCCCCAACCCAGACATCAAAATAATACACTAGTGATCCGTTCAGTGTGATCTTGATCTTGGTCCTTCCTACCGTCATGTAAGTACTCTCTCCAATCCCCACCCATTCTAGTCTTTGATTCTCGGCTATCATACATCATACCTTACGAGCAAAAGAAGTTTCGATAAGCGAGATCTCCGCACCAGAGTCAAACAGAAAAGTGGCCTTCTCTTTCTGATCTTTCCCACTGCTTTCGCTTGTTTTAACTTAATCCTGAAGTATGATACTTCCAGTATCCTTTCGACTCACCTGGGGTGAGATTGAGCTCCATCTCCACCGAAGATCGGGCATAATAGTCCACTCGCTTCACACTTGATATTAAAGAAGTCCGTTTAGATTGATCACATATATTAGAGATCGGATTGCGCCAATTCTTAACTCCTTGGTCATCCGACTTCTTTTCATCAGATGCATACATGCATAGCCCAGAACGCTCGGCTCGTGCCAGATTCCAACCTGGCGAGCGTTCTAGTTTTACATTTCATCGACCTTCGGAGGAAACATATCCGCATGCTTAGCAGGCACGTACCACTGGCGGATAAAGTTAAAGAACTCTTCCATGGGGCGTTTGCCATTCCCATGTACCTCTCCACATGCTGCACACACGTAGGAGCACTTGTCCGATGGAAGCCCTTTGCGACCGCACTTCTGGCACGTTAGTCTCTGCCAGCATCCACGATCATTATGTCGCGTCGATCCGCAGTGGGTGCATGCCTTCGATTTTCCACCTCGATCACGTCTATCTTCTTCACCAGTATTCTTCTGCCAGGTACGATGATCTTTACATCTTAACCAGATGTAGTAGTCATACAAAGTTGGCGGCGATCTTTGTCTTCATCCGATCCAATCGAGTCCGATTCCGATCCGCTACTTTCGATCCGCTCACGGATTGCCCTCGCCGCCCGAGCAGTCTTAAATGGCGTAGAATTTTGGGAGGCAATCGCTCGCTGGCGGAATTTGTTCGATCCTGTCGACGTCCTCAACTGACGACTCTTTATCCTTTGGCTTGCACGTAACGTCTCATCCAACTCATTGACATTGGCCAATCGTAGTAGGATCAGCTGCTTGGCCAGTTCGCGATCGTCCAACGTGGCAATGAAATGTTCCACATGTTCACGACGTGTGGCCAATGTGGCCATCCTCTCGTCTCTGATCGAGATCTTTGCATGCTTAGCCGCGATATTTTGGCGGTGTAGATACTCCTGTGAATTTCATCCGATCGTTTCCGTGCGAGATAGTAATGTCTGGCCAGAGACACACCTTGCCCTCCATAAACTCATCCAACAATCTCTTTCACTTCTATCGAGTGGATCGACCTAGCTGGTTATACCAGTTTCGATCGGGTCCTTTCAGCAGATCTCCGAACACCAAACACTTCTCCTCATCGTGTGCTTGATCGCGCAAGATGGCCGATTTGACCTTACTTATCCAGCTTCTGGCCCGATCTTCATCTCGATCCTTACAACTGAATTCTTTCAGCTCTGTCATCTCTGACACTAGAATTCGTTGAGGTATGCTTCCACCATCTTGCTACGTCTCGGTAGTAGCTACCATAGCGTTTCCTGATCTTCTTGTCCCGAATTATCGGGATCGATGTCGTCAGGTTCAAAAACCTCCGGTGGACTGATGCGCGGCTGCACCGATTGCATCTCCACGTCGGGGATATATCTCTCACGGGATCCAGCAGGTTTGATCCTTTGGCTAGGGTAGATTGCTTAATACGCTCAATTTCATTGATCTTGGCGAAACGTTCCATGACCTCATCGAGGTATGTCTGCAGGAGTCCTTGCGCAGTAGTCGTCATCTGCTCTTTAGCGCCTTTGGCCTTCGAGCTTCACCAAATCGACTCGATCGCGTAGATGTGTTGCATTTCTTGGGTCTAGAGACATTCGCTGGATTCCGACGGAATCGTCCGACTCCATCTCTGATTCCGCCGAGACGTATTGTGACGATCCGGTATGATGCCCCATCGGGACATCGGCGATCGTGGCAACCGCTTAATCCGCGGATTCGCACTTCCCCGTCAAAGGAATTAGCTTGTCATACAGCGATCGACACGTATGGATCACCTGATCCTGATCGCATTCCCGCAGTTCGTTCGCATCGAACGCCCCAGCGACGTATCCAGCATCTTGTTGCAGCTGGATGATCGCGCTGATCCCTTCTACTGCGTTTGTCGCCACCTTCGGTCGGGAAATCAGGCCTTGTATCTCTCCGATAAGCTTAAAATTCAGTATCCGTAGCACGGGGTCGCTCGATAGCAGATACTTGAGCGCCTTCCAATGGGATCCCTGCGCCATTGATCCATCTGCCAGCCTTCCATCTTCATATCCGGAGCCGCTTCCACGAACTTGATCGGTCTCACGATCGTTTTTTTTGCTGCGATCGTGTCGATCCGATCTGGGCTCTTCTTTCTTCACTCGACCTGTCTTTAAAGTCTTCTTCTTCGACAATTTTTTTTGCCTGAGTGGTCTTGTGTAGTTTTTGTTCAGTTTTCGCTGATTAGTCTTTACCCAGCAGATCGTGCTTTGCAGCACGATTCGCGGTGGTCCCAAAGGGGCCATAGGAGGGGGTCGAGATTTATCTTCCAGATCGATTGATCGATTTTCCTCTTTGATTTTCATGTCATCATAGCCCCTCCCAAAACTTTGATAATCCGGGGATCCTTTAAAATCACGCGTCGTAGGCGATCCCTTTGCCTCTAACGCTTCCATCCCAAATTTAGTCTTGACTTTCTCCTCTTCACTAAGGGACTCACGGTGAAATCCCGACTCACCAGAAGATCCGGGCACGAGCACCATTGTGGTGGAGTGGCGATCGCTCAATTTATGAGTCAATCCCAACTCTCCACTGGCGCCCGGACGACCAACTAACGGAGCGGGTACTCCGATTCCGTGTGTGTTGCCTTCCTCACCTTGTGTACCCGTCGGTAGGGAGGGTTGCACTCTTCCAGGTGGACTCGTGTCGAAGGAAAACTTGACCGTGTTGGGGATGGGGTTGTGATCGTGCAGAAATTATTACGCGATCACGGGGTACTTGCGGTTACTGATATAAGTTACCCTGGTCTCAACGAGATCGCCTTGTCCACTGTGTGGTTGCTTGATCCGCGAGGCTCCTGACCACTTGATCCGTCTTGCGGTCTTTCGCCTTGCCTTTACGTGTCTTGCTGCATCCAATCGCAGTTGATGTTGCTTGAGAGTTCTTGAACACACCTGGCCAAAACAATCCAGGTGTGATACTTGCGTAGACGTGTAGCGCGACTCTTTATTCGACGGGGGGCCAAAATTCCTACCCAGAAGAGATAACGTGTGCCTTGTGAAGTAATTTGAATTCTGTTTAATGTCAATTAACCAACCTAAACCCTACCTTTACGCCTATTCTTATATCCTAACCAGATGCCACACGTCGCCTTTCCAGGAGGATCGTCCTCTCGCATTTGTGTAGCCCACACCCAGTATATCAGCAATTGTATCTTCTTGTGGTCCACCCAAGATACTTCCATGATCCCGCTAGCGGATCGTGATTCTGCTAGTGGATCGTGCTATTACTAGTGGAGTGTGATCCTACTAGCGGATCGTGGCCTACTATCGGATCGTGATCTTACTATTGGATCGTGATCTTACTAGCGGATCGTGATCCTGCTAGTGGATCGTGATCCTACTAGCAAATCGCAGCTGAGATCGGATTTGCGATCCTAAGTTAGGATAGCGGTCTTTTACTGAGATCGAGGGTCTTGTCTTGCCATGCCTCACGACGGATTGCGTAATCAAAACGGGTGTGACCATCCTATAGCCTTGTCCCAGGCTGAACGATCCTGTCCACTTGGGGTTTAGGTACGCTATTGCCAGCTACCCATCCCGGCCTGTACCCACCAATCATAGCATTCTTGGCTTAACTGGAGCGTGCGACCCGTGCGTTCGACGATTCAAGTCCCAATAGAAATTTCCTTGTGACCGCTTTGCCACACCTACCGTTTGTTCATCAGATGGCCATCTGATGAACGTCTTGTAGCGTTTACAAGCGTGTGGATGTGCTACGAGTGAGTGTGATGGCATCACTTGTGGTACGGTCGTTATTACGATTGCACAAGATCATAGTGTAGAAGGCCACTGCACTGTGGAACCATCTTCCGGCACTGTAAAGAGACACAGGCTGCGCCGAAGGTTCACCACTCCAAGAGATCGAGTGGACTGAGACACGGATGCACACCAAGAAGGGTGCATCCGAGAAGAGAGATTAGTGTTGTTCAGGATGAACAACACGTTGAAGCGAGATTGACTAACAGAGAGTCGATCGTAGAGCAAGCCCGATCGACTGAAAGAGAGTCGATCGAAGAGGACGTGACCGTGATAGTACACTTAACGGAAGCAAAATCCAGCGTTCCTGAGACCAATAACTCCCGATAGAGTTATGTTGAGGGTGTGGATCGCCAACCACCTGCGGATGGGTTTCCCAGGAAATCACCGAGTCAGTGAATGTCATGGTGAATGACGGATCAAGTGTAGGCGCTTATACACTTAATCTGGTTGTGCCCCCGAAGTCCGCTTCGGAGGTGGTCAGGTTGCCAACGCTAGAATCTACAAGATTCTTGCAAGATCTACGAAGTGACAAGATCAAACAGATCTGCGTACTCGTCACAGAGGACGAGTGCGTCGCCGATATTCGTTCGGCACAAGTGTTTGCTGACAACGAACGGGTTCTCAGTAGTTCATCTGCATGCGAGATTGTCCTCGATGAGAAGACCCGGATTGAGCGATACACGTCTCAATCTTGGGAGTCTTTGAAGACAAATCCTTTGTATAAGGATTTGGTCGAATTCTGGGATGTTTTCCCGGAATCCGTGCCATGCGAGCTGCCCAAGGACAAAGGCACTCGGCATGAGATCGAACTGAAACCAGGTTCGAAATACTATGTCATGAAGCAGTGGCCACTGTAGCGTGAACAGGTCACAGTGTTTGAGAAATTTTTTGCCGATCGTTTAGCGGCTGGTTATGTGAGGGAATCAACATCCCCACAAATCTCTCCGACCTTCTGTGAGCGAAAGGCCGCAGGAAGGTGGCGGATAGTGCACGCATTCAAAAAACTGAACGCTGCAACGGTACCGGCTCAAACGCCGATCCCAAGAAAGGATGTCATCATAGATGGCATGGCAAAGAGCACCATCTTTTCGTCCATGGATCTGATGGATGGATTCTGTCAGATCCTCACGCGTGAACGGGAAATCCCGTACAAAGCAGTGAGCACCCTCAGTGGTATGCTCTGGGAGTGGCTAGTGATGCCACAGGGGCTAAGTAACGCCCCCGCAACATCTAACAGATGTTGTACCAATCTGTTAAGATCGGTGCGCGATTTCGCACCGAGTTACTTCGACGATGTCTTCGTCCATAGCCGGGCTATGGATGGAAAGACGGACGTGGAGGTTCATAGAATCCACGTACGGAAGGTTCTTATTTTAATGCGAGAGCACAAGTTGTTCGCGAACCTCAAGAATTGTATGTTCGCAGCGAACGAAATACCACTTCTCGATTGCATCGTGGGTAAAAAAGGTGTACGCCCTGATCCGGAAAAGATCAAGGCGACTACCGACTGGCCTGTGTCAGTCGACGTCAAGGGACTTCGAAAGTTCCTTGGCTTGGCGGCGTACTGCACAAATACTCGCGCAACTATACCGAGATGACCGTACATCTATCTCGTCTACTAAAGAAAAATGAGAGGTGGTCATGGAGCGCTGAGTGTCAGCACTCTTTTGAAAGCATCAAGAAAAGCTTAGTGCAATCACCTGTGTTGACGATTGCAGACCAGGAAAGACCATTTCATGTGGTCTGTGGCGCCAGCAATTTTGCAATCGGCTGCGCGTTAATGCAGTATGACTCAGGCGGCGTTGAGCGCGTCATCTGTTATCAATCGCGTCAGCTGCAAGAAGCTGAGCGTAATTACTTAGTGCATTAAAAGGAAATCCCTGCCATGAAAGTTGCACTGGCTAAGTTTCGGGTATATCTCTTGGGGGATAAGCCCTTCGTCGCTAATACCGACCATGCGTCGTTACGCACGGCCGTAACAGTCCACACCTCTCGCAACGAATGGAGAGGTGGCTGTCTTTCTTAACGGAGTAAAACTTCTCCGTCGAGTATAAACCAGGACGAAGTAATGTCGTCGCTGATGCTCTTTCGCGCCGGCCCGATTTCGAGCCGACTGCGCAACCCATCAGTAGGGGTGATCCCATTGTTGCAACGCTAACAGTGAGTGTTCCGTCGTCGAATCTGCTCGATGATGTGCGAAAAGCATGCGCGAAGATGAGTCTCTTCTGCGATTGATGGATTACGTATCCAATCCCTGTAATCAAGCTTTGAAAAGCTTGTCGTCTCAATACCGCTCTTAAACCAAACGGTATTCGGTTCGTGATGGACTGCTGTACTATACAGCGGTCAACGACGACACACCTCGTGTCGTCGTTCCGGCTCATAATGATTTGCGGTCGCGTATCATGTATGAGTGCCACGATGCCCCAACAAGTGGGTATCGCGGTAGAGACAAGACTTGCCTCGCGGTAAGTCGTGAATTCTACTGGCTCCGCCAGTATGAGTTTGTTCACGAATACATTCGCGCTTGCGAAGTTTGTTAACGGTGAATCCTAGTCCTTCATCCCGCGCACCCTTGCATCCTCTTCCAATTCCGGCAGAGTGTTGGCAGTCCGTACCGATGGACTTCGTCTTCGGGTTTCCCAAAGACGTTCACAAGAATACTGGTAATCTTGTGTTTGTTGATCGGTTCAGCAAGATGGTACATCTTGTTGCTGTACCTGAGTCAATCACAGCCCAGGGCTGTGCGCGTGTCTTCGTCAATACTATCTTCCGACTCCACGGGTTACTCCGTGAACTCGTGTCCGATGGGGACCCCCGCTTCACAGCGGAGTTCTGGCAATCCGTGTTCCGTTCACTTGGAACACGTTTGATGATGTCAACTTCTGACCATCTGTTAATAGATGGTCAGACGGAATGCGTCAACCGCATCCTCGAAGTGATACTTCGAGGGTATGTCCGCCCGTTTACGAGCTGGAGAGTTCTTGCCGATGGCGGAATTCTCCATCATCAACTCGGTGCATGCGTTGACAACGCACACACCGTTCTTCGTGAATAGCCTACACCATCCACGTCCAAGTAACTTGGTCCATTTCGTGTGTTGTGCCAAATCGGCAACGCATACACGGTTTAACTGCCCCGTAAGATGCGTACGCATCCTACGTTTGACGTCGGTCGTCTCCGCCCGTACTATCATTACGAGCCCGTTTCGAGATGCGAAGAACACCTCCGCGGTCGAGAGCCAAGACCACCCTCGAGTGGTCCCGTTTCAACGAGCCAGTCTGGTCTACTAGCGGGAGCGACCTGTTCACGCAGCTCAGCGATGTCTCGACGAGCTGCAGCCAGCTCGTCACGAAGAAAATGAGTCGAACGTTCATGCGCTAAGGAATTGTAAAATCATGGAGCCCATAACGCCGAGTCCGTTCATGAGCCAGGTCATCTTGCAACTGTTCCGTTACACGGTTCAGCTCCTGAACATCAAGCTGATCGGATCCTCGAGCCGGATCAGGTGTTCCCGCCGCCACCACATCTTTAGGTGGACTCATGCGGTGGTCAACGCTTTCTAGTGGAGCGTATTTTGAACCACCGCGACGTGAATGTCGTCCGGACGAGTTACCTCGTCCGCTGGCGTGGCTATCCACCAGCGTGGGACAGCTGGGAGCCTCGTGCCCAGCTCATCGTCGATGTCCTGGGTCTCGTGAGCAGTATGAAGAGACCCACCCGCTGCGTTCGAAGAGGGGCCGTTGGAAAACGACTTACCCGAACGCGAGTACAGGGATTGCAAAGTGTCAATCCCTTCTGCCATCTCAGAAGAGATGCGCGCCCTCCAGTAGGGATCATTAGGGAGGGAGGCCTCCTTAGGGGCACAATTCGAGTTATCGAGGCGCCCTGGAATTTGATCGCCCCACGCGAGATAGGTTAGCTCTGCCTCTCTTGACATTTGGTGCAGCTTGCATCGTCGCCGGCTGGTAGGATTGTGTTTTTAAACCAGATGCGAGCTAAGCCAGAATCGATTTTTAGGTGAGGGAACACGAATCTTCCCTTGCCCTGTCTAACGATGGATTGCGCACAATAACTGGTTCCACTGTCATCTATCCTTGTCCCAAGTGATATCGCAGATGCTTACAGGGGTTACACGCGCTATTGTTAGTCTCCCGTCCCAATTTGTGTCCACCAATCATAACTCTTCGGAAAGAGCTGAGGTGTGCGATCTGCCCGATTCCCCACTTCAACTGAACGGTAAATTTCCTTGTGACCGCTTTGCCACACTGGCGAGGCTATAGTAAACTACAACTAAATTTATAAGTGCAGCTGTCGTCAAACCTATTTCCGACTTGAATTAATGGGGCGGTCTGAACGTCCTGTGCAAATTACTACCAGCGGTTGCGCCTGTGAAAGACAAGACCAATGTTGTGATGCCACAGACCAAAGCAATGCTATATAAACCGATTCGAAAAAGTGCGTGCAGCATCATTTAGAGTCCTATCCAATCTGGCAACTGGCAGCCAGCCCTTGACATTATTGCGTACATAATTAAATGATGGCTTCTCGATACTAAGATTAACGCGGTTGGTTAAGGGGCTTACTCGTCAGATCGATTGGCTCAGCTTTAATCTTCTTCCATTTCTGTCAATCAAACTCGTTAAAGCGACGGATTTAATCGTCCTCACCGACCATTCCGTCTCCGACGGCGTCAGGTGCCGAGAAATTCCCGGCGGTCACGCGAGAATAGACTCGGCTTATTTCGCAAAATGTCACCAGATTTCCAAGCAGCCTGATCGATGCGCAAAACATTACAAACTTTTTTTATACGCGAAGAGCGAGGGAAGATTGATTTTATCCTTCGTCTAGAAACTCTGGTCGCTCATTGCGAAGCGGCCACTATAAACAGGCTTTACAACACCACGTGAAAATTCACTGCAAAACCAGGGCGAACTATGTGGACTGATTCAGGCGCGGTGTGTAGAGGGGTAACTATCCTTTAACATCCATTTTGTCGATAAATGTGATAGATCCTTGGCGCGAAGAGCATTGGACATCACTTTGTATGGCTGCTAGCGTTACGCCCACGGGCGAAGCGGTCCTCGTCGTCAATGTATATGCTTTAAACAATAAGTGTAAACGGTAGGCATTGATAGGATTGCTTCTCTACTACCTACGGAGGCATAGCGGTCCGATGCTGATAAATAAGGACTTTGATCGCACCGTAAGTCACACGTCTGAATCGTTCCTTCATTACTCGTGCTGGCAGACATGATTCTATGGCGTCGGCTTCTCGCTTGGGCACAGATAAGCCATGTTCTAAAGGATGCGATGGAGCGAGAGGAAGAAGGGCGTAAACTTTAAGCATTCAACGCTGCGGCGCACACATATTTCTACACTCTGCCAGGGGGTATCTCCGCCAGCTCTCTGCTTGATCGGTGGTATGCAATTGCTCTACATGCCGACTGAATTCGCGACCTCCCCCTCTCAGTTCTTGGGCCAGCGGCGGACCACAATGGAACAACTATACGGATCGGCTTGCCACGTCAAATTTTACGCGTGCGTAAGCCACAGCGAGTGTATCCTGTCCCGGGATGTGGGAAGGCTGCCGCAATCTGTACAGTTATTGCTGCACTAGAGACGGCACAGAGTGTATCACGAACACTCATTTGATTCCTGCAGCAAGCTAGGACACGACCCGCAGACTTGCAAATTGGTGAAATAACTAAAAGACGCGTTTACATCAAGTCTTGTGTGGGCTATTTCCAATCAAGCCCGTCAAAGTTTGACGCAAAATTATCTGTATCTACTGCGTCGCCTAATGTCCAGCTCGACGCGACAATTCTCATGGCACGCTCCTTAAATGTCGCTCCGGAAGCGTTCACGGGAGCAGCGAGCAGTCTGGTTTTGGCGATACTCCGAAAAACTTTGTCGAAATGTGGCAGAGTGTCGCCTGTTATGGCAAATAATTAAGTACGAGCGTCTTCTTACTCAGCACACGTAATTTTCGGGCGAGATTTGCAGATTTACGCCTGAGCGGCGACAAGTTAAATAACAACACGATAGGCTACCTGTGTGGTAAAGCATCATTCGAGCCAAATCGCTCTCAGGAACTGGCTGATGAGATGGCAGACGGGTGGGAGGGTATCATTAATCGTATTGCTACTGCCCTGATGCTGCCATCAAATTTTAAGATCAGGCCTCTCTGCCACATTGATAGATCGATTCATCTTGCATGACGGCTACAGCCCCGGGTGACGTGGGTGCGGCTCTAGAAAGACTAAAACATGGAGAGAGATCAGGGCTGGACGAAGTCTGCGAGACCTTTTACCGCGATTGCTCCGAAGCGATCAAGCCTATTCTTGCAGCGCTATACACAAGATTGTTTGATTACAGCGTGTTCTTAGCGTCGCTTGGAGAGATAAATATTCAGTGCTTTAAAAAAAATTGCGGCTTTCGCCCAACCGCTGGACCATCGTCCTATCGCTCTTTTCAACAGCGGCTCCAAGTTTTTTTCAAGATTATTTCGATTAGGTTTCGGCATTCGCTCTCACATACCTCTCTACCGGCCCAAGCTGGGTTTTTTCGAAGCGGTCAATCCATAGGGCGCTTGAAATATATACTGCAGTCTAAAAAAACCGCGAATGGTGTCCCCAACATGCATAATTTCATCATACTGCTTTTTGTTTTTTCTAAGGCCTACGACAAGCTACAACGTCCATTTTTGATATCAGTGCTGTCTTGACTAGGCTTCTCCTCTCGGTTCACAGCGATCGTAGCTGCATGACATCACGATACGACTTGCCGATTTAAAGTGAACGGCTGCCGCCCCAGCTTCCGGGGGGTTCTCTGAGGAATCCGACAAGAATGCCCACTCGAACTTCTACTCTTCACACTGGCTTCGATAGAGTCTATCAGGTGATCCAAGAGAGGGTAGATGTTTGCGGCGTATCTTTTACATCAGGCGGCCGGACGACTGAGATTAAGGTTTTGGGACATGCCGACGACACGGCAGTATAACTGCGAGATCGGACAGCGGTGAAGCTTGTTGTTTAAATTGTAGAAGATTTCGCAAGGGTCTCGGGTCTCATGACGAATCGAGCCAAGTATGTGGTTATCGATCCAGGCCCTCGCGGATTTCGGCCTTACCTGTCGACACCCACGGCCTCACTTTTCTAGCGTCGGTGTTCTGGTAGGGCAACAGGACGTATTGGACAATAGATGGACGAAATGTCTTATGGTGTCGACTTGTTCTGGCTGGAGAAAATACTCACACAGACGGGCAGCAAGACCGCTTTGCCAGTTATATTGCAATGTCCATGATTACCGATCTAGCACGTCATTGTTGGCCTCCTATTGCCATTGTCACCCGATTTCATGGATTGGTCATGGAATTTATATGGGGTATTCGAGATAGCAAACGATTTCGACCTTGGGGGCCCGCCGATATGTATGCATTACCGACACAGCAATGAGGCCTTGTGGTGCCGTGTATTTGAACGAAATTGCTGAAAACGGCAGCGACAGCAATAATGCAGTGGGCAGGTACGGTTTCCACGACGGATTTGCTGAAGGAGGTGTCGTGTGTGGTTATCCCGGATCAGGCCCGGCTAACACCACCTTGAATTGGACCGAAAAACTTCTCCTAGAGACAGGTCGTCCCTCTGATTGACTTGTTATAAATTGCTGGTCTCTCTGCTGCTCGGCATGCCCGCCAAGGCGACGTCAAGTAAGTCTGTCTACGGGCCATGTTCTTTAGGTTGAAAGCCGGTGTCGATCATAATGACGATGAAAGTGTCTCAACGAGCGCTTGATGACAACATGCGAGCTGGAATAGAGGTCAAACTTGCAGCATCGGGTCGGTTTGACTTCAGGTGGCTTGTCCACTCTTTGATAAAAGATATGTCGTGGATGCAAGGTCATAAATGCAAGCACCACCAGTTTAAAGGTGTTTCATTTAAGACAAAGATGACCTTTCTGGGCGACACAATGTCTTGAAGCATGATGCGATGTATTGTTATACGATTCTCACCAACGCGAGATGGGGCTACCCAATCGATGGCGAAAAGAAGACACTTTAGATCTTTCTGTCTAGTCTTCCTTTTTAACTTGCCTTCGCTCGTGTATCGACTTATTGATTCAGAGGCATCAATTGCGTACTTATTGGAGATCCATCGTCATCATGACTCGCTACTGAATCGCAACGGCACATCGCTATCCCACTTTAGCACGGGCATGTCTTGCAGGGAGTGTCTTGTCCCATTAGTTTTGGCGTGTGATAGCGCTACCTCCTTACAGTGGATCTTTTTTTTACGTTCGCTCTCATCCTGTGCTCACTCGGGTCGTGCAGCTTTGGGCTGGTTCACGAAGATGGCTTCTGCAATGCAAACAGCTCAAGCATATCCTTTCTCGGCGTCTGCGTTAGGAAGGGAACTGACTGCGAGACAAGCGGGTCACGAAGCCGGACTCTCGAGTTATTTCAACAGGTACACTAGAATCTGATCGAGTGGAGAGACCTCCGACGAGTAAGGGTAACCTTTCCAACTGGCGCATGGACGCTGTAATGACTCAAAGCGACTGTATACACTCTGGGTTCGAGCGGCTCGAGACTTGTCAAGCCTTGTACCTGAGTGATTGTTCACCCTACCTGCAATGGCAAGTCGCGTCATCTAGAACTGCTCTAGTGCCAAACGACATTGGCATCATCTACTATCATTTTATTACTTTATATTTAGCAATTGAACTACAAAGTTTAAGTTTTTATATTTTAACTCTCGGTGGCGAAATATTGACGACATTAATGAGAATGACCCTTAAGTCTGGGTATATTAAATGGACTTGCCGTGTCTTCCGAGCGCGGCATGGAACGCTATCAAGGATGTTCTCCACCTGGACGACAATTCGTTGGGTGCGAAGAATGCGGCCTTTACAGCAGCTCGCGAGCTCTGGCGTTTCGTCGTTTCTACGAAGATACATGCCACCTGGATCAAGCGTCTCGGCCTCATGGAGGACTCAACTCTGCCACATGAGGTACACACCGCCAAGGCTCAAAACCAATTTCGCCGATCAGCCACTCGTTTTCGCGGGTCCACTTTTCAGCTAGATGTAGGAGCGTATGGACAACTCGTTGCACGGGTCAGTCGGTTATTGCTGACTCTCTACTATGCTACGATGACCCCCTCGTTGCGGACGTTGCCAAGCGATAGAGACTAAGCGTTTTTTTGCTGTTAATCCACGACGGTATATCGCGTGAAAATCCCGGACCGGTTGGGGCTGGATCCGTCATTGTCAAGTTTGACGTTCCGATGCACGCCCTTGCATCAGGTGGGTGACGAGCAGGTCCTACACCTCTACTCTTACTGCCAACAATGTCACGGAATAATGGGGGCTAGTCACCGGTCTCCACCAAATTAATTTAAGCAAATACTCTCCTTTGCATGTCTTTGGGGACGGTGCGCTGGTGCTATCCGAACTTCGTTTCCATCAACCCCTTCGCAAGCCACACCTTTAATTGTCTTTTCGGGAAGCACGGTCTTTTGCAGACAATATTAATGTCGCCAGCTGGGTCCATCACTACCGCGACTACAACAAGATGGCGGATTGACTGGCTAATCTCGCAATGGAATCATGTGCCTATAACCAAGTGCACGCTCCCTCAGGGCACCGTGTCGTCTCGGAGACTGCGGCCTTCCTCGAAAATGATTATAGTCACTGGATGAAGGTTTACCAACACGCTACTACCAAACTACAGATAGCGCAACACACGCGAGGAATGTAATAATCTCGATTCAACCTCTTACGAAGCGCCGCTCGGCCGTCCGAAGACAAGTTCTACCCTAGTATGTAACAGTAGATGTCTGCACGATACTATTGTTGCTTGTTGACATTATATAGCGGGTCGTTTGCGTACCTACATACACTTCAACATCTCCTCCTCCAGTACCGCTGATGTAACGGGGCACTAGTGACCTTTACTGACGCAGCAACACTAAACTGACACGGACGCATAGTGAGTAGTGCCGCACGTCAATTCACGTGCACAATATGTGCAAAGGAATGTCAGCTATTAAACGACGCGGTCAATAAAAGCAGAAAGTGAAACTGTATTAAATGTAACGAGTTTCTAGTACAAGTGTAGCAACGGTTTTGCTAAAACAGCTCGTCCCTTTCATCAATCTCCTTGAAGCGGATGTGTAATGGTCCTGGACTCTGACCAAATCCTAGGCTTCTGAGAAGTAAAGGAGAGTATCCTACATGCCTCAACTTTTACTTTGAAAAATTATGATCGGCCTTCAGTGTCGTCTGTGACACCTCAAAATAAGACATTGTCTGTGCTCAGCTACAAACCGTTTTTTATTAATTAATGCGAGCGTGTCATCGCTTTCGTATCCCTTCAGATTCAAGCTGCTGAAAAGAAATTATAAAAAATAAGACAATAAGCTATTTGCTTTAAAGAATGCTCTAGTCGAAATTATAGTAAATCAGCTTGGCTCTTAGCCTTTGTTTCTATGCAGATCGTTCTAACTCACGCAAGGCTATGTGGTCGTCTTAATCTTGCAGAGGATGGATCCTTTGCTATCATTTTTTGTGGAAGATATTTTTAAGGTGAAGCATAAGCCGAAAAATATACGCTGGCTGAAGCGCTGTCACGGCGGCCCGAATATGAGCTTGCTCAGGCATCAATTTTTTCGTCGTCAATTACTAAATTAGTATGTGCATCTTATGACAGAAACCAACAGTATATATATGTGCTACATGCTCTTGAAGGCGATGAGTTTAAAATCCCGGAAATGACGATGTCGGCACATTCGCGAGCTAAATAACATCAATATTTTATCGATACCAGCTTCTTGGGCTATCGCACGGAAGTCACGGATACCCTACGTATCATTGCTCCTCATAATAAGTATTCTAAAACTATAACAATCTTTTTTTGAGGTCCACGACACAGCTGTTAGTGGTCATCTTCGCCGCGAGAAGACTTACGGCTTGGCTAGCCAGAGATTTTGGTGATCTGAACTCTATAAATGGGTAAGCATTTATATGCATACACGTGAGACGTGCCAACGGGTTAAACCCTCGTCACATGGGACTGCGCCGCTCGCTAGTTTGACTGTACCGTCTGGTTGTTAGAAGTCAATCAGACTGAAATTCTTGTTTGGCCTGCCAAATAATTAAATGGCATCACAAGTATTGTGGTCTTTGTCGACCCTTGAGGCAAAATGGCTCTCTCAGCGGCTGTGCGGGATTAAATTGGTGGAGAAGGCACAGCTTTTTTATTCATTGATCGCGTGATCTGCCAACACAGACTGCCACCAGCAAATGTCATAGACCGCGATCCTCGTTTGACGGGCTAAACCTCAAAGATCATATTTAAGGTGCTCGGCGCCAGATTATAAACTTCTATTGCGGATCATCCGTAGACCGATGTTTGGACTAAGCGTGTCGATTGCGCCCTCGGTGACGTCTTTAGCAGCGTGTGTGCTGAGAAGCCTCTGCGTTATAGCTTAATGATCCCCGCTGTTAGTTCGCTATAAACAAGGCCTTCCACTCCCGGACAGTCTACACTATGTTCTACGTGAAGTGCCTTACCCTCGTGTTCCGTTAACTTTACCACTACCTGGATCAAATCTAATTGGGGGAGAAGTAGTCGATCTGCTTGCTGACATCAGTCCTTCTACTGTGCATAAAAAGGTCAATCGCGATCCTTAAAATACGAATGAATGTCTTACGTCATGTTCGTGGCTGATTGCTACGACAATAAGAAGGAACAAGAAGATTTTAAAGGCATAAACAGTATTGAAAGCTATGATGCCTGCTACCAAGTCATAATGAACGCTAAACTCCTAACTACAAATGTAGTGTCTGCTGTACTAAATACTAAGCCACTTTAATGCTTTATTTCGATAATTACGCTCGCGAGCCAAAGGGTCTTGTGCATGCGATTAACTTAATGTGAAAGATTGGACTCCCTAAGCCGTATAAAGATATGTCTTTGTTGATCGGGAGGCGCTTGTACCGCGGAAGTTAGCTTTGCCATAGACTGATACATTCAAATCAGGATATTAAGCTGCTCTTCCATCCGTGTCAAGACCATTTTAAACGTTGAAAAACGAGCTTGCACCGCGTTAACTTCTGCTGGGTCTGACCCAAAGTCTCGAGAAGATTGTTCACATCGTATGCCAAAATCTCATGGGCTGCAGCCGAAACACCGACCGCCACCAGTGTTCTTGAACAGCAAAGGAACCTCCAGTTCCTTTTAAAGAACGTACTGCAGCTATGAAGTCTTTACCACCAATGTCAGTTACCTGGTGAAGTGGTGGGGATAATATAAGCCTGAGAACTAATGGGAATACGAGATGTCCCATTGGCAGATTGATTTAGGCCGTGGAAGTTTTGAGCACCATGGTCACGGTCAACTTGCGACCTCTCAAATTTCTCATCAGTAACGGGAGCAGCGGGCGGATCCATGACCGAGGCGATGTAAACTCGCAATTATCGGCAAAGCCCCAGCGAATCGCGTACGGAAAATTTTTCGCAGCTGGCCTTCCGCCCTAAATCTGGCAAAGTCATTACATTTTTACAATTAGAGACGTACGTCAACCTTGTTGGCACTTGCACTTAAAACGTGAGTGCTTCAGCTTCTCGCTGTACTTTATGCACCCAGCGTATAAACTCGTTGTCTTCTTACCGGGAACAATTTCCTTACGTCTAGGAAGAAGGAATAACCCTTATCGGTGAAGTTAGCACATAATGACCTTGGTCTAAAATCCTGCCTTGTAATCATTATAGGTCATCACATACAGCACCAGCTACCACTTACGCAATATTGTGCCTGCTTTATTTCCGTTGCATTGTCTGCCGGACAGATGGTACACGATGCCAACGACTGATCGGTCGTTTTTCGTAGACGTTTCTTCATGCTGAGAGGTATTAAAAAGGGGTGGCCCGTTACGTGAAATTGACACCAAACGGTGTCAATAGGAATATTGTCAAGCATGACAATATTCTACCAATATTATCAAGATGGACAACATTGGAGGGTTATTATCCCCTATTGATGATGTTCATGCGCTGCTCCAAGATTGGTTGATATAAGACATATCAACCATTGGTTGCCACCAATCGCTGCTAGACGCGCGCAATGAGTGGTGAGCAGGTTGTCGTCATACGACGACATGGTTTAATATAGTTAGATAAAGATTAACGTTATATTGATAGCTTAACTATGTTAAATAAAGTTCTCTTTTCACCTTTACTTAAACGAGTCGTTCAATTAGATTAGCTTCCTCTGCACGTACTAGTGTACGTGAAGTTTCGTGGCACCCCAAACACAGGGTGCCCCGTTACACCTGGTAGCACTTCGTAGTCCGTCCAACGACTACTTTGTGTTCGTCCAACATGAACATGTTGGACATGGAAGACGATAGCTTTCACGTCACACGTGAAGGCTACTCCCATCTGAGTGAATCAGAATGGGAGGTAGTCGGCCGCATGAGTGTGCTCATGGGTGAACCCGCCATCAGTGGTATGTTGGAGTCTCTACGCAGAGACCAGCAACATGCTGCTATCAACAAGTTCCTGCAAGGGGAACTTTCCGTCGAACGACATGAGATAGCCTTGCTACAGCAGCAAGGATATGATCAGTTGATGGGTGGGCCGACGCACATGCGTCGACCCGAAACCTTGAAGATTAGTACCTCAAGGTACAAGGGAGCCGCTGAAGATTCCCTTTTGAAATGGTTCGTCGAGTTAGACGATGCCATCAGGGCCCGTCACATCGAGGGTGACGAGATGCAAGTCACCTTCGCCCTGTCAAATTTGACGGGACGAGCAAAGACTTGGGCCTTAGGGCTCAAGCTTCACGAACCAAGCGTGTTATCGTCGTTGGAGATCTTAAAGTCTCGGCTTAAAGAGTCATTTGAGCCGCCGAGAGCCGAGTCCAGAGCACGCTCTGCACTCTTGAGGCTAAAGCAAGGTAAGCGTGACGTGCACGCTTATGCACAGCACCTGGGCTACCTTGCAAGTAGCATCACGGAATACCCTTTTGATGAGCACACGCTCATCAACGTGTTCATATACGGCCTTGTGGATGGGCCGGTGACGACCTACATGTTCCAAGAGGATTTCCATGCGTTGAATAGAGCGATAGAGGATGCGGAACAAGAAGAATTAAGCCTGAGACAGTCTCAGGCTAACTCGTCAAACTATCGTCCGACGAGACTACAGGAAACAGGAGGTCCCGAACCAATGGACCTCTGTTACATCGAGAGCGAGAACTCTCGCTCTCTGAGTCACAAGCGAACGGCAAGATGCCATCGCTGTCAGAAGTTGGACACTACGCTCATGAGTGTAGTGTCCCGAGCACTGCAACACGTCCAAAGACAGGACATGATAACCACCGTTGGCCAAGAAAAGGTCCGAGGCGTGGGTCCGACCATATCGCTAAACCGCGACAACAAGTAGGACCGTAAAAAAATGGACAGGGTCAATAGGGGCGGAGCACCCTGATGATCCAGCAACTTCGAGATAATTTGTAGGACTTTTGACGAAGATTGCTCCCAGCACACAGTTACTGTGTGTTACTGCCCCTAGTGATGAGGAGTCTCTCATCACTTTGAAGATCGAATTGACAAGTGGGATGTTACTCCGTGCCCTCGTTGAATGTGGGGCGTCGAACAGTTTTATTCGACTACAATCGCTAGGGGATAGTAGGCTCAACTATGTTGATCGGGAGTTCCCTCCAACGAGGATGACGGTGTGCCTTGCTACAGGTGCATCGTAACACCGAACAAACGTGTAGTGGGAATCCACTGCACGCTAGAAGGAAAACAACACGATGATGACGTTATCGTATTAGATTTGGATGACAAACTTGATGTCATCCTTGGTCTGCCATGGCTTAGAAAGTACCAGCCATAGATCAGCTGGCAGCATCGATCCGTCAAGATGCCTGCCGTTTGTTCATCGGATGGCCATCTGATGAACGTCTTGTAGCGTCCACAAGCGTGTGGATGTACTACGAGTGAGTGCGATGGCCTCACTTGTGGTACGGTCGTTATTACGATTGCACAAGATCACAGTGTAGAAGGCCACTGCACTGTGGAACCAATTTCCGGCACTGTAAAGAGACACAGGCTGCGCCGAAGGTTCACCACTCCAAGAGATCGAGTGGACTGAGACACGGATGCACACCAAGAAGGGTGCATCCGAGAAGAGAGATTAGTGTTGTTCAGGATGAACAACACGTTGAAGCGAGATCGACTAACAGAGAGTCGATCTTAGAGCAAGCCCGATCGACTGAAAGAGAGTCGATCGAAGAGGACGTGACCGTGATAGTACACTTAACGGAAGCAAAATCCAGCGTTCCTGAGACAAATAACTCCCGATAGAGTTATGTTGAGGGTGTGGATCGCCAACCACCTGCGGATGGGTTTCCCAGGAAATCACCGAGTCAGTGAACGTCATGGTGAATGACGGATCAAGTGTAGGCGCTTATACACTTGATCTTGTTGTGCCCCCGAAGTCCGCTTCGGAGGTGGTCAGGTTGCCAACGCTAGAATCTACAAGATTCTTGCAAGATCTACGAAGTGACAAGATCAAACAGATCTGCGTACTCGTCACAGAGGACGAGTGCGTCGCCGATATTCGTTCGGCACAAGTGTTTGCTGACAACGAACGGGTTCTCAGTAGTTCATCTGCATGCGAGATTGTCCTCGATGAGAAGACCCGGATTGAGCGATACACGTCTCAATCTTGGGAGTCTTTGAAGACAAATCCTTTGTATAAGGATTTGGTCGAATTCTGGGATGTTTTCCCGGAATCCGTGCCATGCGAGCTGCCCAAGGACAAAGGCACTCAGCATGAGATCGAACTGAAACCAGGTTCGAAATACTATGTCATGAAGCAGTGGCCACTGTAGCGTGAACAGGTCACAGTGATCGAGAAATTTTTTGCCGATCGTTTAGCGGCTGGTTATGTGAGGGAATCAACATCCCCACAAATCTCTCCGACCTTCTGTGAGCGAAAGGCCGCAGGAAGGTGGCGGATAGTGCACGCATTCAAAAAACTGAACGCTGCAACGGTACCGGCTCAAACGCCGATCCCAAGAAAGGATGTCATCATAGATGGCATGGCAAAGAGCACCATCTTTTCGTCCATGGATCTGATGGATGGATTCTGTCAGATCCTCACGCGTGAACGGGAAATCCCGTACAAAGCAGTGAGCACCCTCAGTGGTATGCTCTGGGAGTGGCTAGTGATGCCACAGGGGCTAAGTAACGCCCCCGCAACATCTAACAGATGTTGTACCAATCTGTTAAGATCGGTGCGCGATTTCGCACCGAGTTACTTCGACGATGTCTTCGTCCATAGCCGGGCTATGGATGGAAAGACGGACGTGGAGGTTCATAGAATCCACGTACGGAAGGTTCTTATTTTAATGCGAGAGCACAAGTTGTTCGCGAACCTCAAGAATTGTATGTTCGCAGCGAACGAAATACCACTTCTCGATTGCATCGTGGGTAAAAAAGGTGTACGCCCTGATCCGGAAAAGATCAAGGCGACTACCGACTGGCCTGTGTCAGTCGACGTCAAGGGACTTCGAAAGTTCCTTGGCTTGGCGGCGTACTGCACAAATACTCGCGCAACTATACCGAGATGACCGTACATCTATCTCGTCTACTAAAGAAAAATGAGAGGTGGTCATGGAGCGCTGAGTGTCAGCACTCTTTTGAAAGCATCAAGAAAAGCTTAGTGCAATCACCTGTGTTGACGATTGCAGACCAGGAAAGACCATTTCATGTGGTCTGTGGCGCCAGCGATTTTGCAATCGGCTGCGCGTTAATGCAGTATGACTCAGGCGGCGTTGAGCGCGTCATCTGTTATCAATCGCGTCAGCTGCAAGAAGCTGAGCGTAATTACTTAGTGCATTAAAAGGAAATCCCTGCCATGAAAGTTGCATTGGCTAAGTTTCGGGTATATCTCTTGGGGGATAAGCCCTTCGTCGCTAATACCGACCATGCGTCGTTACGCACGGCCGTAACAGTCCACACCTCTCGCAACGAATGGAGAGGTGGCTGTCTTTCTTAACGGAGTAAAACTTCTCCGTCGAGTATAAACCAGGACGAAGTAATGTCGTCGCTGATGCTCTTTCGCGCCGGCCCGATTTCGAGCCGACTGCGCAACCCATCAGTAGGGGTGATCCCATTGTTGCAACGCTAACAGTGAGTGTTCCGTCGTCGAATCTGCTCGATGATGTGCGAAAAGCATGCGCGAAGATGAGTCTCTTCTGCGATTGATGGATTACGTATCCAATCCCTGTAATCAAGCTTTGAAAAGCTTGTCGTCTCAATACCGCTCTTAAACCAAACGGTATTCGGTTCGTGATGGACTGCTGTACTATACAGCGGTCAACGACGACACACCTCGTGTCGTCGTTCCGGCTCATAATGATTTGCGGTCGCGTATCATGTATGAGTGCCACGATGCCCCAACAAGTGGGTATCGCGGTAGAGACAAGACTTGCCTCGCGGTAAGTCGTGAATTCTACTGGCTCCGCCAGTATGAGTTTGTTCACGAATACATTCGCGCTTGCGAAGTTTGTTAACGGTGAATCCTAGTCCTTCATCCCGCGCACCCTTGCATCCTCTTCCAATTCCGGCAGAGTGTTGGCAGTCCGTACCGATGGACTTCGTCTTCGGGTTTCCCAAAGACGTTCACAAGAATACTGGTAATCTTGTGTTTGTTGATCGGTTCAGCAAGATGGTACATCTTGTTGCTGTACCTGAGTCAATCACAGCCCAGGGCTGTGCGCGTGTCTTCGTCAATACTATCTTCCGACTCCACGGGTTACTCCGTGAACTCGTGTCCGATGGGGACCCCCGCTTCACAGCGGAGTTCTGGCAATCCGTGTTCCGTTCACTTGGAACACGTTTGATGATGTCAACTTCTGACCATCTGTTAATAGATGGTCAGACGGAATGCGTCAACCGCATCCTCGAAGTGATACTTCGAGGGTATGTCCGCCCGTTTACGAGCTGGAGAGTTCTTGCCGATGGCGGAATTCTCCATCATCAACTCGGTGCATGCGTTGACAACGCACACACCGTTCTTCGTGAATAGCCTACACCATCCACGTCCAAGTAACTTGGTCCATTTCGTGTGTTGTGCCAAATCGGCAACGCATACACGGTTTAACTGCCCCGTAAGATGCGTACGCATCCTACGTTTGACGTCGGTCGTCTCCGCCCGTACTATCATTACGAGCCCGTTTCGAGATGCGAAGAACACCTCCGCGGTCGAGAGCCAAGACCACCCTCGAGTGGTCCCGTTTCAACGAGCCAGTCTGGTCTACTAGCGGGAGCGACCTGTTCACGCAGCTCAGCGATGTCTCGACGAGCTGCAGCCAGCTCGTCACGAAGAAAATGAGTCGAACGTTCATGCGCTAAGGAATTGTAAAATCATGGAGCCCATAACGCCGAGTCCGTTCATGAGCCAGGTCATCTTGCAACTGTTCCGTTACACGGTTCAGCTCCTGAACATCAAGCTGATCGGATCCTCGAGCCGGATCAGGTGTTCCCGCCGCCACCACATCTTTAGGTGGACTCATGCGGTGGTCAACGCTTTCTAGTGGAGCGTATTTTGAACCACCGCGACGTGAATGTCGTCCGGACGAGTTACCTCGTCCGCTGGCGTGGCTATCCACCAGCGTGGGACAGCTGGGAGCCTCGTGCCCAGCTGATTGTTGATGTCCTGGGTCTCGTCGAGCAGTATGAAGAGACCCACCCGCTGCGTTCGAAGAGGGGCCGTTGGAAAACGACTTACCCGAACGCGAGTACAGGGATTGCAAAGTGTCAATCCCTTCTGCCATCTCAGAAGAGATGCGCGCCCTCCAGTAGGGATCATTAGGAAGGTAGGCCTCCTTAGGGGCACAATTCGAGTTATCGAGGCGCCCTGGAATTTGATCGCCCCACGAGAAACAAAGTAATCCTGCCTCTCTATATAGTCGGTGCAATTTTTATCGTACACCGACTGGGTTACGCTTTTCAAACCTGATGCAAGCTGCATCAAGTTCACCAAGCCAGGCCTCACGGCCGACGCACTCAATGTTATAGATGAAGGCATTCCATGCTTGCACCAAGGCCTTTCCGTCTCGAGCACGGCTGCCATTGTACCACAGATGTTTGAAAAACGCATCGGTGAGGAACTCTTCCTCAGCACGGATAGTTTCCGTGCTGGAGTCAGGTGGGCAAATCTTCCTGCAATCGAACTACGGGATTCGATCCCGTTCGGTAGTCATGCCAGCCAACCGGTCCAACTCCTTGAAGGACAAAATCCAAGGAGACTCCATTTGGGGAGCGTGGAGCAGGACATTTCGGTCTCTGGCCTCTTGATTGGTGCCAGCGTGAGCACTGACGCCAGTGATACCCTGATCCCTTGAGTTACTTCGCTCGTGGTGATGCAAAGATGCATCACCACCATTCCCACGCGTCCTATCGTTAGATGGACTTTCGTGAGGCGGAAATTCGTCGGGATGATCACTCGATCCGAAGTTATCGGTCCGTATACCGCCGCGTTGACCAGAGCCAGTCAGCCTTGCTCTCGCAGTGTCCACCCCGGGTGATCCCGAGGCGTGATGCATCGCCTTCAAGCCGGATGCTTCATTAGACTCGCCAGAATACATGAACTCTATTTTAGACTTGTAACGGGGCACCCTTTGTTTGGGGTGCCACGAAACTTCACGTACACTAGTACGTGCAGAGGAAGCTAATCTAATTGAACGACTCGTTTAAGTAAAGGTGAAAAGAGAACTTTATTTAACATAGTTAAGCTATCAATATAACGTTAATCTTTATCTAACTATATTAAACCATGTCGTCGTATGACGACAACCTGCTCACCACTCATTGCGCGCGTCTAGCAGCGATTGGTGGCAACCAATGGTTGATATGTCTTATATCAACCAATCTTGGAGCAGCGCATGAACATCATCAATAGGGGATAATAACCCTCCAATGTTGTCCATCTTGATAATATTGGTAGAATATTGTCATGCTAGACAATATTCCTATTGACGCCGTTTGGTGTCAATTTCATGTAACGGGCTACCCCGATACACTTGGCCTTTGCCTTCATGTTGTAAACGTCCCGAAGTACCGTGTTGCACTTGGGTTGGCTTTTGCGTAGCATAATAAGTGTTGCTGTTAGTTTTCGCCAGATTTGCATAGCTGTTCCACCATTTGAAACCTGCTCAGATTGAGTATTCGTGCACTTGGAAATGCAGCCACATCTTCAGCCGGTTCATGGTTATAGTTGGGACAGTCAACAACCAAAGTAAAAGCTTCACTGAACACATCATTTTGCCGAATAGGTGCTTTGAAAGGGCATTCATTTCGAGAGGTGCTTGTACTGCGCAACCGACTGTCCTCGCCCTCATGCTTATCCCCGTGAACACAAAAGACAACTACTTGCTTGAATGGACCACTTTCTTATTTCCAACAATTCGGGTTACGCCCTTTCCTGACAGCATAACCTTCTGATTCCGCATGAGCCTTGACATGCTCCATTGCTGAGTCTAGCGACGTGAACAACTGTGCAGCTGGTGGTGGGGCCAACAGCTTTGATGTGTGGTGTGACAAGGTACATGAAAGTGTTGCAGGAATGAATCAGGCTACTTCCTCTGTTGTCGATCCGTTCTAGTGACAGTGTAGTCAAAACGTTCCCGGTGTTGGATAAGCGTCCGTTGCTTCTGATTGGTCAGATTTGGGATATGTGGTCTATTTATAAAAAAGGTGTGGTATAGCTATTAGCACCCTTTGTTAAACGTTCATTTACAACTAAAATACCAAGAACTACTTGTAACGGGGCACCCTGAAGCTTGTACTGATGACAGTACAAGCTACTTATTCTGATGACAGAATAAGGCGGTGCCTCGTAACTTCACGTACACTGGTACGTGCAGAGGAAGACGGTAAGGAGAAGCGAGTACTTGGTTAAAGTAAAAAGTAGAACTGTATTTATAATAGTTAATGTCTGTTAATAAACCACTGTTTATCCTCATCTAACTATGTCTAAATACAAATGTGTAAATCAGTTATCTGCTCACCACTCATTGCGTGCGTCTGTCGTGGCGCGTCTTAGTTGGTTGGCACAAAAAGCCTATATCAACCGATTAGGAACTACTCGTAAGTGCTGCAGAATATTTGTCCTTATGACAATACTCTGAGAATATAACTCTTATAGTTATATTCTATTAACAATTTCTTATAAATTGTTTTGTAACGATTCACCCCGTTACAGTTTGCCCAAAGTACGCTCATGTTGATCCCGAGGTGTGCTTAATTTAAAGAAGCTAGCTAGTTTTGCATGCTTAAGCACGACTTATTAGGTTTTGATGGATGGATGACGGGAGGGAGGGTTCTGGCAGACGCGTCGCTGAGCGGCCGGCGATAGAGTGCTGGGCTCATCATAAAGAAACACACCGAAACTACCAACTGACGTATTACGAATTCCGGTTCCGTTCAACTGTGTTGCGCTCCATTTTTTGATGATTATTTCGATGCGATACCCCATGATTAGTTTGACGTAAACGTTTTGTTGCCGCCAGTGGAGGCGTCATTGCAGTGGTGAATGGGATGCCTGCAAGTTATGGCAACATCTCAATCTTCATGAGGCGAACCTGCCATTATGATAGAACGCGTTGTAGCTGTCGCAGGCAAATCTGGCTTAGAAATTCGTCCGCAGCACCCCAACATCCTTTAGAAATAGGCTTAATTGAGCAGGTGTCGAACGGTTGTTTTCTGGCAGCAGCCTGACTTCCTGATGGTATAAGCCTACACGAGATGGCAAGCGCGGTCGTAACACCCACGTAATCCTGATTGTAAAATTAAGTTAACGGACACCCCATTCAACGCCGCGTTCTTTCAAGTGCTTGAGTCTCTTTGGTGGAGACGTCGATGTCGCCCCTGTTCAATGTTCATTTAACAAACAATACGGCGGATTGAAATGAACGAGGTGAACTAGAGCATCAAAATGCTTCACTGATCACAAATATACAAGAGCCTAAAAACATCCGAGGCAAACGCAGCTGTTGAAAGACTGCCCGAGTCTGTAGCCATAGCTTTTGATGTGACCATGCCCAGATTATGCACGCAATCGTCAATAAAGTAAATCAACAAGCCAGCAGGGCGTTCTACACTGCTTTAATGTGGTACTCAGTCGCTGTACTAGTCGATTCCTACCAACTACCGTTGCTTTACACATCTATTTCACCTGCGTAACAAAATGTGACCGTAGTGCTGCGTGAAAGGAAGGACGAGGCGTGTATTTTCCGGATCAATATCCTCCACAAGATACGTAACGCCATTCAATTTATTAACTTCTGTTGCAGTCTTTACTCTATTTCCAACCACAACTCGTGGACGCAATGCTGCAGTTCCTCCAACTCCTCCAAAGGCATTCGAGAGTTTTCAGCCAGCACGAGTGCGATCTCCGTGACTTTTTTAGCGTCATCCCAGCGCTCCTGAGCAAGCAAATTGCCAGCAAAGTGGTAGTGAATCATAGCGGCCGTGGCGTTAAGATCTGCGAGGAGCGAGATATCCACGTCAGACGCTTCGCCCTCGCTGGCGCCTGAGTCAACAGCTTGGTCGCAATGCTCATTGTATGCACCGATAGCGTCGTTAAAGTACTTTTCAGCTTCCTCATGCTGGCCACTACCAATACACCGTACATAAAGTCAAGTTAAAATCAACGACTTAACATACAGCATGTGTAACGTACAGATTCTCGGAACAGAGTGCAAGAGCCCCGAGTGTGGTCACACGCATGTATGCGGTCCAGGCCGTTGAATCTGCTGAGATTGTCTCGAGAATAGCAATTGCCTCTCCATAATAAACCGCTGCAGTAGCGCTGTCTTCCAGCTGATCGTCATATATCCGTGCGATGCCAAAGGCGACTTCAAAGACGTCAGGATCTGCACACAGCGACTGTTAAAAACGCAATTCCTTTCAATTGACAGAGTGCTTCCTTGTCTTGAATTCACACACACACAGCGTCCACCTTCTTGCTTGTTTTGTTTCAGAATGTCGTAGAGCTGTAGCGACTGCTCAAGCTCTCGCTCCGTGTTGTTCTATCCAGTTGCCAGCATCCACCAGTAAGTGCCGCCACACCACAGCCCCTATCACTCATCATGACAAGACACGCACCTCTTCTTGACTCTGTTTGATAAGATCAAGCAACGTCTCAACTCGAGGGTCAACACCTTCATCAACCTCCGACCGAATGCTCTCAGCTTTCTACATTGTGATGAGTTAGAACCCGAAAATGAAGTAAAACATGCACAATGAGTCTTGCAGCCTCTCGATAATTAACGTGCAACAAAGCACATAATGATCCGTCATTGAGATTGCTGTGCCGTACATGGAACAACAATTCAGACGTCGCGCTGTTCTTGACCGATGTCGACAACTCCCGAGATGCCTCCGGACTTAAGTTCAGACGCAGCGTTTCAGATGGAAAGATGCCGCTTATTCTTGGAAAATTCCAAGAACGAAAAGAAGCAGCAGCGACTGGAGACCGTCGGCGTGTCGAGAAAGCTGCACGGACCGCTCGGGGGACGGTACCAGTTATCACAGTGAGCAACATCGTCACGTGTCGCGTTGTGTCAATAGGGCGAAAGAGGTTGCGAAGGTTGTGCGAAGGTGGACACGAGCTTGACGACACGTCCCAGCGTTGCGTCAACATTAAGTTCGATCAATGGAGAAGCCGTAGGTGCGACCGTGTAGTAAGCTGAGCGTGTGTGCGATCAAGAAAATGAATGGATTTGATGTGCGGTACACGGAATAGTTGTCTTGCATACTTAGCAGCTAATGCACCACATCAATTGGAGGAATAGGTAAACACTGTGACTCTTTGGTGATGGTAAATCCTGAACGCTGATTCAGTGCTTACGCCCGATACGATTTCGGTGTGCTGCTGCCTAAACTACATCATCTTCTCCTCGCTGGCTTAGTCTGCTTGGCTCGGCTCTTCGGTCATCACGGGGGACACTTCGCAGAGGGCACGTAGAATCGTAAATCTAGTCCAAAATGCAGACAGGGCGCTGAAGTCGCAGGAAACGCCGGGTACCAGACCGATCACCTCCGATGGGCCGATCTTGATCACGTTCTAGGCAAGTTCGCTTCGTAAGGCACGGGAGTCAAGCTCGGCGAATGGGCCGACAACTCGAAGGCTGAAGTAGAATAGTAGGTACTAGAATGAGGGTGACAACGCTGTTGCCGTATCCCTCACATCGGGGGTTTTCTGGGTTGCTTATCCCCTTTTGGTTTGCACGCTGCGCTGCCTCCCGTAGCGCACGCAGCGGCAAGAAAGCCTCCCACCTATAATCTACGTCCAATGATAGAGGACTTCCCACCCAGGGTAAGAAGGCCGGTCGCTTGGCTCTTTGGAGGTCCTCGTCGCTTGGCCGTTGTTGCCCGAAGGCGCGAATTGGAAAGTTGATGACTCCTTGGTGATGGCTGTCGCATCTGTCGAGGAAAATGCCCACCCGCAAGTGAGACACGTCTAAAAGTAGTGGTGGCGGCCACTGCATGGCGCGATCGGCACCGGATCAGTTCAACCATGTCGGGAAGTGACGGTCCTGAAGTATTCGCGATCGTCTGATCGTCACAAAATGCACGGGCGCCGACATCGTAGTATGCTCAGTCAAAGCAAGTGAAATACGACGGAGGGAGGTCCTGCTCGCCATCATGGTGGGGAGCAGCAGCAGTCAGTGCCTGTTGTGTAGAAAGGTTTATTGCATCGAGACCGATGGGTGATGTAGACACGGCGTGTCGAGACTTGCGCAGGGTACAAGTCCAGATTAGGTGTCACGATGCACGTATTTTTTTATGATCGACAAGTGAGAATCAGCTGCGAATCGCGATGGGAAGAGAGTGTTCGATCCGGCACAATAGCCGCCAGTGCTGCGAAACCATTTGACACGTTCAAGACCCGTTCAACTCTCTTCTTTTTCCATCGCGTGCCTCAATGATGATGATGAGGAGGAGAGGAGACGAATTGCTTGCAAAGTGGGGAGGCAACAGTGAGGTAGGGGTTCGTTCACGTGAACCAGCATTGGCAGCACCTGATTGAGCCGATTTGCTTACGCAACGAGACAAGCAGCAGATACGTGGCTGCAACTCACGCGGCGTTTACGGTTTCAATCCGTCTAGTCTTGCGGCTCGTCTAACCGCTACTACCCCTACGCGAGCACACAGAGAAAAGCCTTGCGCTGCTCATTCGTTCGCGAGGCCCTCCCTCCATGACGTCGTCGTCCAGCACAGTCTCTTTCGCAGACGAAATGCAGCACCGAGATCGACCCCACGACCATGGGATCCGGGCAGGTGCCCAGCAGGGAGAGCACGTCATGAACTTGCACATAAATGATCGAAATTTCGCTGCTGCAGCCCTTGGTGATGAGCAACCGCCGCTGCTCATTTTGCCACTTGCAAAGTCCGTGGACCTCTGGTCTTTGGACTCCTCATCGAGTGCCACGACTTCGACGGCTACTTCCACGACCATCACTACCACCATGTCCACCACTCTCCATCTCGCTGCTCCTTATAGCCACAGTCTCTCCATGTCGCCCTGTAGCAGCGATGACTCCGATCTTTTGGTCCTCATGGGTCCAGACCAACAACCAACTCCGACGAAGAAGCTTAAGAAAAGTCGTCGGGTCCGGGCGCTCTCCACCGAGCGGAGTCGGCAGTGCCGCGAGCGCCAAAAGCAGTACTCCCAGAGTCTCGACGCGGTCGTCCGTGCCCTGCGCACCGACGTGCGCGACCTCGAGATCTTGCGCAACTTGCGTCAAGAACAGATCGTCAACGTCTGCGGGTCCGTCTCGGGCTCGCTCGCCAAGATCATCCGCGAGTACATGACGGTGTTCCGGCATGGCATGCCCGCTCCCGCTGTGGAGACTGCGCTGGCAAGAGGAAAGCGCGACCTTGCAGTGATGTACCAACCGACGCCTGACGCCCAGTGCGAGTTCCTCAACTGCATGATGGACCCGTACGTCGAGGTCTTTGACTGGTGTGGGCGGTTCGTGCTGGGAGCTAGCACCGTGCTCAATGGGTGGCGCGCGTGGGCCGCCTGGCACGACTCGCTCAGTTTTGAGCTCGTTAACATTGACGTGGTAGATACAGAGGACACGCTGGCCGTAACGACCAAGGCGAATCTCCGGGTGCGGGTCTCGCCAACGACGATTGCCCACCTCTTCCCGCACATTGCGGACGACCGGGAGCTTTGCCGCAAACTCCTGGGTCAGGAGATCTGCTACCCGGTCCACGACACCTTCTTCTTTGCCGCGAACAAACGGGTGATCAAGTACACGTGTGACGTGGACTTTTCCAAAGCGCTGCTGCCGGTAGCAGGCAACTACGAGACGGTGCTGTACCTCATGTCGCCCCCTAGTCAGGCGTCGTTGAGCGACCTTGCTGTACGCACTTCACCAGGGGATCTAGCTGAGCGCTCGCCTCTGGACGTCAAGTTTCTGCTCTCGGAGGAGTGACAGCGTTGGCGAACTCCGTAGGAAGATACGTATGAACGACGTGCAAGACAATTTACCACCACCCGCAGTAGCAGTTGTCCGTCCATGGCGTTCGACATGGACTGAAGCTGGATGGGCCATCGTTGCGGCTGTTGTAAATAGAGCTCTGATGTGGTGATGGTGGTGGTGGTGGTGGTGGAACATCGACTACAAGTGAACACAGCAGGAGATCAGCTCAACGTGGCATGCATCAGAGCAGGTATTAGGACGACGTAACAACCCCTCGAGTGAAGAGCGCTTGTCTGCCTATTCCACCACTATGTTTCGATACATTGTCCAGCAGCGGATGGCGCACACGAGCTCTCACTCACCTCTCCATAATAAGGTGCAACATCCTACAGCTTGTACAGATCACCTTAATGCGATTCTTAGCCTTTTCCGACCTTGCAGTCAGACTATTGGCAGTCATCCTCATCGCAAGTGTGCGTTAAATACTATCACTCATATTGGTCTCTCTCCTTACCAGGACGACGCCAACCGCTACGTACACATGCAACATCCACCATTCACCAGCTCCAGCAGAGTCCTCTCGACTGCCCCGTTTTCAACTATGCTCTAGCCGAAACTTGTTATGACCCACTGCCGTCTGCCAACGGACAACACCCGCTACAACTTCCATCATGAGGTACCTCAAGTACTCGATCGACTGGTTCACAACAGTTCCCCCAAAAGTCACTTCACACGCTGAGACGCCCGTCGGTGTCACCTTTTCCAGAAACATGTACCAGTTCGAGAGGTGGACGTACGTACTCTCCATTGCGGCAAACTGCTGCTGACCCACGGAGAGCGGAATCGAGCGGTACGTAATGAGATACCCACCATCAATCCGTCCGCGTGCAATGAGCAGAATCGAGTGGTGCACCGTGTCGCCATTGCTTACACTTAGCCGCACGACGACGCAGTCTTGAGTCACCCGCTGCAGTAGCTCCAGGGCCACCGTGCGTGGCTGCATGTACCGATACAGGTCAACATCCGTGAGCATATTCCACGTCTTGTAGACGAGCTCCGATGGTGGCACACACTCAAACTGCTGCGACAGCATAAACCGCAGCGACTTGGCGTTCAGAAGACGCTTATCCTGCCAGCCCAGGACCTCCGCGTCGAGGGACTCAAAGTCCCGCTCAGCACGGAACGCCATGATGGACTCGTAGCTCTCTTTGACACACGCCATGACCACATCCAGTGGTAAGGGGTGACGGAAGAGCACGCGCTGGAAGATGGGCGCTTGCACAAGTCGGTCGTTGTTCAGCTCGAGGTGCTCCGAGACCTCATCCTGAACGTCTACGACCCCAAAAGCCGACGAATTGGCCCCGCACTCAGCCACGATCGTCTGGTACGTACTGTTCTGAAGGTCCCACACACGAAGCTTCTTGTAGAGCTCCTGCTGCTCCTCTCGAAGCTCGTCGATCAGCGTCATCGTGTTGATCAGCACCGAGTTTTGCCGTACCGGGTCCTTCTTCTTTAGCCTCGATCGCTGTCTCTCCAGGTCCTCCATCTCTTCTCGCATGTGCAAAAGCCGCATCTAAGCAAAGGGTGAAGCGGGGATGGAAGTAGATGTCTTAATAACTCTAGATTGGTTTGAACGGATCATTGGTTGCTTGAGCCTGCACCCATTCGGGCGTCACAATACCTTTAGTGCTTTCGTCCGTCGGCGTTCATTGGCATTGTGTCGAGACCGGCGCTGCTCGTCGTCAAGCGCCGGAGACCGGGGAGACGTCGTGATGCTGCTGCACTTGACGGACTGCACGCTCTTTGCTGCAAAGTCACTCGCGTCTGAAGCGCCACTTGACAGGAGCTCTGACTCGAGGCCCTCGGGGTCTCGATCTCGGGTTTCTTCCAAGACAATGGGAGTCCAGCTCATTATCCTTTTGCACCCTTTGACAACAACAGCAACAAACGACGACGACGACGACGTGCGTACGTACGTACGTGTTGTGTATGTGTGTGGGTGTGACCAACTCCAGTTGCGCCAACAGTTGATGACTGGATCATTTGGACGTGAGGCATTGGCATGGACAGGGCGACAAGAAACTCGAACAAGGATGGGCATGCTGCAGCTGCTGCTTCACGATGGAAAAGTCGATCGGGTTTTTACAGGAGCGGACAGCTAGTTAGATCGTTATTTGGTTGGGTGGTTGGGGAGGAGAGAAGATGTTCTTCTTGCTTTCGTGTGCATTAATCGCTGAGTTGCGTCTTTGACCAGATATCGCATCGATCTCTACCTTCGACTGTCGTGGCGCTGGACATGAGAGCTAACTGCTAAGAGCTGAGAAGAGTCTGCAGGAGACTTTTAAACTAGATGTTGTCGAAAGCAGCTGAAGCTTTTGACTCGTAGCTCCTCGTCGAGGGCTCCGAATTGTCAAGTAGATTGTACACTGGTGGGAGATTCAGGTGACGTCGTGAATGAAGCTGTAGCGAGTGGTGTTTCGCTACTCTTCATTGCAGTGCGACTACGCGCGTGCTGTCATGTAAACTACTGCGTATCCGCTTTAACTTGATGTCGTGCATGAATTGATCACGCAGAGGGCTGGCGGTGTATCTGACTTTCGGAGCCCGTCTGTTGGTTCCGTTCTTTGTTTTAATGCTCGAGGTGTTGTCAAGACTGGATTTTTCCCAAAGCGGGTGAAAAAATGACGCTGGTAACTGTGCTCAGTGATGCGTGGCCTTGATGGATTCTTAATTTTGTATTGCAAAATGACGGGACCTTGCGATGTCCGTTCTATTTCGATTCCGATATCTGTCGACAAAGGTTTGGTCATTTTCGACCGCATTTATCTGTAAAAGGTAAACATCATAGGCTCGATCACGCAATGCAGCGGATGGATCAAGCTTAGATCACCAGGCTTGGCGAGGTTGATCGACATCTTGGAATAACAAGTTAGCGCCTTCACAATAGGATCGCAAACATCCTCTTTTTCATTGAACGTTGTCGTACATGGTACATTCCTCGACTCTTTCAGCCTAATTTGCTACCGCATCGTGGGGTAAAACGGCGTTCGAGCGGCACGGGGTCAGAAAAGTGGCCAACGATCGACCCCGATACCTAGTGACGTGTAACGCGATTTCAACACGCTTCACCATGCCAGAATTTAGATGTCGTGACAGTGATGCTGTCAACTGTCATGGGTTGGACCGAAGATTGTGACACTTACGGTAACATATGAAGCTGATTGCGATAGCTTTATACGAATGAGCTGGGCTGAGATATACGTACCCATCAAGCCCATCCTTTCTCGGTGGATCATAACCTGTCTAAGGCGTAAGAGCGGCATGAGGGAAGTACACGTCCTCGTTGAATGTGTACAGCTTCTCACATCAGTTGAGCGCAACGAGCTGGCATTATTTTGTTCTTTTCACCTCAGTCATCCGCTGACATGTGATACCGAGTCACGTACTCAGTAGTAAAAAGCATCCAAAATCCACAGTCGACGGGCTCGATAGCCGTGCTAGGACATCAACTCCGTCCAACTCCGTCCAACGCTTTGGATCCAACCGGTGCGACAGGATGCTAAGGAATTGCGCATTTGTTCCGTCAAGTCGCGAGGTTGTCCTGACGATTCCACTCGGCGCCGTCCTGTCCACCGGATATCGTCCGATCGCCATATTTGGTATATCCAGCTCCCTCCCGCCCGCTCTTTCTTAACCGTCGTGTCCATACTCGAAGGATGGACGACGTACGTCCCACAGTGCCTAATCCATCAACTTTATGCGAGAAAAAGTGGAATTTTCCGTCCGACCGGTCCGACCGAGTCCCTTTCTGACGCTATGCGTTCGTGTCTTGTCGTACACAAACCGTGGTACTTCCAGCGTTAACGTAACTGCACGTGAAAACCACCACTCTGGCTCGGCGTATAGGTACTTTTGCGTCGTAATCGGGGCATCCATTTGACTGGAACTGCTACCTTGGGATGAGGATGTCTGCAACTCATCTATAGCCATAAAGAAGCACGTGGATGGAGAGGTTCAAGACGTGACACACTTTTCTTCGCCCTGAACATTAATGGGCACTCGTGCTGGCGCTCATTGTTATTTGTTACCTGTTGTGAGCTGCAAGGAGAGGGGGAGGCAGAACACACGACCACAGAGACCTTACGGCGAAATCGGTCAATGAAGATTGGGGTCATAACTTTGCAGCACGACCGGTCGACCTGGTGGAACGAAACTCATTGTGCACTTGTGTAGGCATCCCGGATGGCACTTTGCTCCAGAGCCCAACGTTGAAATCGCAGCAACAACACAGCGACAGGTATGGCGTACAATGTCAAGCTTGAGTCAGTCTGGACACACATGCGGGCGTCGTACAACTGAATGACGATTCTCACAGCACTTGGACCGACACATCGAAGTTCGTTCATCAGTCAATTATTCCACGGTCGCGGTGTTCATCTGACATTGTTGGGTTCGCTCAGTACAAATGAGGTGGCACCGGTGTCAATACCAGTGTATCTTACTCTACACCGTTCGCATTCACCACGGACATGGTCTCCTCAGCTGTGAAATGGCCAGCAATTGCTCAGATTGTCACAAGGAACAGTCAGTCTCGATCTCGATGTGTGGCCGAGTGTGTGGCCGTTGACTTGCACCGCTATGTTTGCTGTCCGAAAAGAAGTCTTCTGACTGGAGACTCTCAAAACTCAAACGCTCGTTCGTGACCGGGTGCGTAAATGCCAGCTTTGCAGCATGTAAACAAAGACGCGAGGCACGGTGGTACACCAGCTCTGGAGAGTACAACGAGTCACCTAGAATTGGATGACCTAGATGCTGCATATGCAGTCGAAGCTGGTGGGTCTTGCCGGTCACTAGTTTGAGGTCTACTATCGTAGATTTCCAATCCTCTTGAATGTCATCAACTGCGTGAGATCGCAGCCAATATTCGGTACACGACCAGAGCGAGCTTGAAGGATCAACGACACGGTCCGAAATTACCCGTTGAACAAGCCGCTTGGTCGGGTGCTTCTCCATGGGAACTCTCAAGCACCTTGGCGACTCCGACTCCTCCTCTTGATTGTCCATGATCCATCCATCAACTCGTGCCACGTAAATCTTCTCAACCGACCGATCTCGGAATTGTGCATTCAAACTCTGAGCTGCAGACTTGGTCAGCGCAACGACAAGCAGGCCCGACGTTTCTTGGTCCAGACGATGCACCATCCGAGCTTCGGGATACACGTTTGCAATACAGCGGTGGACCGACGGCAAAGCATTGGAGTCGGCCCCGTCCACGCTCAACACATTAGCAGGCTTCTCCACGACAATCAGAGCATCGTCTCGAAACAAAATCTTCAGCGGCAAGTGAGCACGAAGGGCAGCGTCGGCTGCATCACTGTTTTTGCACTTTGCAAACTCACGGGTTTGCACTAAAATTCTGTCAGGTTGTGCGCCCAATGCAATGTCAACCTTATCGGGCAACCATACTCGAACTACGTGGCGATATGGCCGTCGAATTAGCTCCAAATTGAGTGCGTTTAAACACAGTTTCGCCAGCTTTTGAGGATCGTCAACAGTCAAAATCTCAGACTGCTTTAATATCTCGGACTTGTTCGATGCGGCTTTTGTGTGCACAAAAACCACCCCCGCCTTCCTGCAGCTGTAAAACAATCGAATAGCCAAGTCCGAGCTGTAAACACTTCCAGGGGGCTGCAGGTTCGGCACTTGCTTCAGCTTAATTAGTCCGAGACTGTGGATTCGGTCGGAGACGACATCTTCTGAAATTTCAGTTGAATCAAACACACCAACTGGCAATTGGAGCGTCTGCAGTGCGGATGCTATCAATCGATTCAGTTCTTGGGTCGCTTCAGCTGGCAGAGCGTTCGTGGCCAAAGCGTCGCGTCTTCTGTTGGTGCCCATTATTCCTACTGCTTGGGCTCCCTGACCAATCATGAGGTTGGTTGTACTGTACGACCAGATATATGGACGACAGGCAATGGTTCGTCAATTGTACGATCATACATTGATTATTCCTGTTTGGTCACTGGCAGATATTCAGTGGAACAATTTGCGAGTGGATCCTAATGAAAGCATATTTCTATCGAGAGCAACTGGCTGATTGAGCTACATGATAATCTAGAACACTGTCAATGGGTTCATTCTGGACGGCAAGCAAGGGCATCATACGATCTTGTCGTCTGTTCATCGTTAGACTACGATCCTATAGTAAACGTCAGCATGTCGTCACCGTGTAGATCGTTCCGACGGCACGAACTTTAACATTTCTAAACTGATCAGCTTCTTGATGATGCAGTCGTATGGTTTAAGTAGTATATGCAAGGTATCACATTGTTCGTGTAACGGGGTGAATCGTTACATAACAATGTATAAGAAATTGTTAATAGAATATAACTATAAGAGTTATATTCTCAGAGTATTGTCATAAGGACAATATTCTGTAGCGCTTCCAAGTAGTTCCTAATTGGTTGATATAGGCCATTATATCAACCAACGAAGACGCGCCACGACAGACGCACGCAATGAGTGGTGAGCAGATAACTGATTTACACATTTGTATTTAGACATAGTTAGATGAAGATAAATAGTGATTTATTGCAGACATTAACTATTATAAATACAGTTCTACTTTTTACTCTAACCGAGTACTCGCTTCTTCTTACCGTCTTCCTCTGCACGTACGAGTGTACGTGAAGTTACGAGGCACCGCCTTATTCTGTTATCAGAATAAGTAGCTTGTACTGTCACCAGTACAAGCTTCAGGGTGCCCCGTTACACCTGGTAGCACTTCGTAGTCCGTCCAAGGACCGCGTTCACATCCAACATGAATATGTTGGATGATGAAGATGACCAAAGCTTTCACGCTACGCGTGACGGCTACTCCCATTTGAGCGATGTCGAATGGGATGCGGTTGAACGAATGGGTTCGACCATGGGCATCCATGCTGTTAGCGTCATGCTAGAGGCTCTCAATAGAGATGCCCAACATGCTACTATCGCCAAGCTCATTCAAAATGAACTTGACGCAGAACGCGAGAAAGTAGCCTTGCTTCACCAACAAGGTTCTCAACAAGCAGAGTTGTTGAGAGAACAAGGTGCTCAACAGTTTGAACTGTTGAGACAGCAGCAGGCTGCTGCTGGCGGGTCGATGCACTCGCGTCGGCCCGAGACTTTGAAGATTGACATCTCAAAGTATAGGGGGGTCGAAGAAGACTCCCTCTTGAGATGGTTCGTCGAATTGGATGACGCCATAAGGGCGCGTCGCATCGACGACGGGAATATGCAAGTTGCATTTGCCCAGTCAAATCTGGCAGGACGTGCCAAGACTTGGGCACTGGGGCTCAAGCTGCACGACCCATACGCGTTTGGGTCGTTGGAAGTCTTCAAGTCGCGGCTCAGACAAACGTTTGAACCGCCTAGAGCTGAGTTCAGAGCTCTAACCGAACTCTTGAAGCTCAAGCAGGGTAAGCGTGATGTGCACGCTTACGCTCAACATATACGACATCTCACGAGTTGTATAAGTTCCAATCCGGTGGATGAACACACGTTGGTTTCGGTGTTCATGCAGGGTCTTGCGGATGGTCCCGTCAAGACTCACCTGTTCCGGCTTGAACTAGATTCACTAGAACAAGCCATTTCAATTGCGGAGCAGGAAGACTTCAGTCTGAGACAGGCTCGCGCCAGCTCGACATCATATCGTCAACCGAGACGATATGACAACGGAGGTCCAGAGCCGATGGAACTCTGTTATGTAGAGAGCGAGAAGGCTCGCTCTACAGGCTACAAGAAGTTGCAGAGATGCAACAGATGTCAAAAGACAGGACACTACGCTTACGAGTGTAGTGCCCCTCGTCCAGTGTCTCGCGACACTGGGCGTAGTGACCGTCCACCCATGAGAAAGGGGCAGGGACGAGGGTCCGCAGTTGGTGCAAAGACGCAACAACGGGATGGACCGTCAAAAAAACGGACAGGATCAGTAGGTGCGGAGCACCCTACTGATCCAGCAACGTCAAGAGAATTTGTAGGCCTCTTGATGAAGGTTGCTCCCAACACACAGACATTGTGCGTTGCTGCTCTAGGTAATGAGATCTCACTCATTACCTTGAAACTCGAAGTGACGAATAAGTTGTCCCTTCGAGCTCTAGTCGATTGTGGGGCGTCCAACAATTTTGTGCGACGCCAATCGCTAGAAGATGGTCACTTTAAATTCAGTGAATGTGACACACCTCCTACGAGGATGACGGTACGTCTTGCGACAGGCGCATCCGTAACCGTCATGAAGCGTATAGTGAAGATTCACTATACGCTAGAAGATACCCAATACGACGATGACTTTATCGTATTGGATTTGGATGACAAATTTGATGTCATCCTTGGAATACCGTGGCTCAGAAGGTACGAACCACGGGTAAACTGGCAACATCGGACAGTAACGATGCCTGCCGCTTGTTCATCAGATGGCCATCTGATGAACGTTTTGGAGAGTCCACAAGCGTGTGGATGTACTACGAGTGAGTGCGATGGCCTCACTTGTGGTACGGTCGTTAGTACGACTGCACAAAACCTTAGTGTACCAAACGGTTACACTTCGGAGCAAAGTTCCGGCGGCTGTGAGGAAACACAGGCTGCGCCGAAGGTCCACCACTCGAATAAGTCGGGTGGACCGGGACAAAGATGTATCCCTAGAGGGGAACATCTAGAAGAGAGACAATCGATCGCTCAGGTTAAGCGAAACGATAATCCTAGATCGACTGGAGAGTCTTTCGTAGAGGATCTCGCTGTGGTTGCGCAACCCCAGCTAGAGGAAGTAAAGGGAATAAGTCCCAAGATTACAAATACGGCGGAAGTAAGTTCCCCGAAACCCGCGGGAATAAGTCCCCGGGAAGACGAAGGAATAAGTCCTTCGAAGCCTGAGGGAATAAGTCCCCAGGAAATGACAGAGACATTGAATGTCATAGTCAATAACGGATCATGTGTAGGCGCTTATACACTTGATCTGATTGCGCCTCCGAAGTTAACTTCGGAGATCACTCAGTTGCCAACGCTCGAACATAAAAGATTCTTGCGTGATCTGCGTAGTGGCAAAGTCAAGCAGATCTGCATACTCGTCGCTGAAGACGAGTATGTAACCGACATAAGGTCAGCAACAGTGTTTACTGAGAACGAGAGAGTTCTCAGTAGTTCATCTATGGACGAGAGTGTCCTAGATGAAAAGACACGAATTGAGCGATATGACTCCCAATCATGGGAATCGCTCAAGGAAAATCCTCTCTATGAAGATTTGGTTGAATTCAAGGATGTATTCCCTGAAACTGTTCCGTGCGAATTACCGAAGGATAAAGGTATTCGACACGAAGTCGAGCTTAAACCAGGCTCGAAGTACTGTGTCATGAAGCAGTGGCCACTGCCTCGTGAACAAGTACTTGCGATCGACAAGTTCTTTGCCGATCGTTTAGCAGTGGGCCATGTGAGGGAATCAACTTCCCCACATAGCTCTCCGACCTTCTGTGTGCGAAAAGCAACAGGAGGGTGGCGGATAGTGCACGCGTTTAACAAATTGAACGCTGCAACGGTACCGGCTCAGACGCCGATACCGAGGAAGGACGTAATCATTGATGGTATGTCAAAGAGTACCATCTTTTCGTCCATGGATTTGATGGATGGCTTCTATCAAATCCTAATGCGGGAACGGGATATACCCTATACCGCAGTTAGCACGCCTAGCGGCATGCTCTGGGAATGGCTAGTAATGCCACAAGGGCTCAGTAATGCCCCTGCCACGTTCAACAGGTGTGTATCACATCTGTTGAGGCCAGTACGAGAATTCGCGCCGAGTTATTTCGATGACGTATTCATCCATAGTCGAGCTATGGATGGAAAGTCGGACGTTGAGGTTCACAAGTACCACGTCCGACAAGTTCTTACAATCATGCGAAAGCATCAATTGTATGCAAACCTCAAGAAGTGTATATTTGCAGCAAGCGAAATACCACTTCTTGGGTGCATCGTTGGTAAGAACGGTGTACGTCCTGATCCCGAAAAGATCAAGGCGATCACCGACTGGCCTGTGCCGGTCGATGTCAAAGGTCTTCGAAAATTCCTTGGGCTAGCGGCGTATTTGCATAAGTATTCACGCAATTACGCCGAGATGACTGTACACCTCTCTCGTTTGTTGAAAAAGAACGAGAGGTGGTTATGGAACGCTGAATGCCAACGCTCCTTTGAGGGTATCAAGCAGAGCTTGATACAATCCCCAGTCCTAGCAATAGCCGATCAGGACAGGCCATTTCATGTGGTCTGTGATGCCAGCGATTTCGCAATCGGCTGTGCATTAATGCAGTACGACCTTGAAGGCGTTGAACGCGTCGTCTGCTATCAGTCGCGTCAGCTGCAACCAGCTGAGCGGAACTATCCAGTGCATGACAAGGAACTCCTTGCCATGAAGTATGCACTCGCGAAGTTCAGAGTCTATCTATTAGGAGATAGACCCTTCGTTGTTTACACTGACCATGCGTCCTTACGCACGGCAGTGAACAGCCCGCACCTTTCACAACGAATGGCGCGGTGGTTGTCATTCTTTGCAGAATACAACTTTACGGTCGAGTACAAACCAGGACGACTTAATGTCGTCGCTGATGCACTCTCAAGTCGTCCCGACTTTGAAACAGTCGCGAAACCCAACAGTGAGACAGTCACTGTTGCGGTTATGACGTCCTCAGTTCCATCTACAACGTTGTATGATGATGTGAGGCGGGCATACGCCCAAGATGGTGAGATAGTGAAGTTGTTGTCACATCTCTCCCAACCATCTCGAGAATCGTTGAAACGATTATCGTCTGCGTATCGATCTGCATCAGATCGATACACTACTCGTAACGGTTTACTGTACTATACAGCCGTTTCTGGTGACACACCACGTGTTGTCATTCCAAATGATACTGATCTGCGTTTGCGGATCATGTTCGAGTATCACGATGCTCCTATGGGAGGACATCGTGGCCGAGAGAAAACATATCTCACGGTAAGTCGAGACTTTTACTGGCCCCGCCAGTATCAGTTTGTGCGAAAGTATGTTCGCGCATGCGAAGTCTGCCAACGAGTGAAGTCAAGTCCTTCACTGCGTGCACCTTTACAGCCTCTACCGGTTCCGGCTGAGTGCTGGGAATCCATCTCAATGGATTTCGTCTTCGGGTTACCCAAAGACGCACGCGGGAATACGGGTATTCTCGTATTTGTTGACAGATTCAGCAAAATGGTACACCTTGTGGCTGTACCAGAGACAATCACGGCAAGTGGCTGTGCTTGTGTCTTTATTGACACCATCTTCCGACTTCATGGGTTGCCCCGTGAACTCGTATCAGACAGAGATCCACGATTCACTGCTGATTTCTGGCGTTCCGTGTTCAAATCACTCGGAACGCGCTTGAAGATGTCAACATCTGATCATCCAGAGTCAGATGGTCAGACGGAACGTGCCAATCGTGTCCTTGAAGAGATACTTCGAGGATACGTACACTCCTTTAAGAGTTGGAGTGAGTTTTGCCGATGGTAGAGTTTGCCATCAACAACTCGGTACATGCGTCCACGACACATACACCGTTTTACGTGAATGGCTTGCGCCATCCGCGTGTACCCACCTTACTAGAGTGTAACTCTGGTTTAAGGGGGGGAGGGACTCGCGCGAGCAAAAACCGATTTGGTTCACGCTCATCACGCTCTGACGAAGAAGTCATTGCGTTTGATGCCGATATCGATAACATCGATATCGAAGAAGATGATGCCAGTGAGAGTGCGGAAGCCCTCACTGAAGACAATGATCCCAGTGAGAGTGCGGAAGCCCTCACTGAAGACAATGATCCCAGTGAGAGTGCGGAAGCCCTCACTGAAGAAAAGGTTGTTGTCGCTGCAGTGCGCTCACAGCACACTGAAGCTAACGAGTCATCAGATGAGTTCATACTGGCTCGTGAAACGGTAGTCCGTTTTGTGCAAGACTCCATCGCCGAAGCGGTGGATAAGCAAAAGCAAAACGCTGACAAGAATGGAAGGGCAAACACTCTTTTATTTAATAAAGGTGACTTAGTCCTACTGTCTACGGTTAATCTACCAAAACATGTAGTGACTAACTTGGGTAGCAGTAAACTACTACCCAAGTACATTGGCCCATTTCGTGTATTGCACCGCCTAGGCAATGCATACACGATCGAGTTACCACGTAAGATGCGAACGCATCCCACGTTTTACGTTGGTCGGCTTAAGCCGTACCATCAGTACGCTGCTTCTTCCGATGAAGAACGCCCTTGCGCTCAAGCATCTCGCAGAGAGCCTTGTGCTCCCGATGGTGGGCATCAACAAGGGTCTGAAGAGCAGTTATCTCAGCCCGAGACCGGTCAACAATCCCACGAGCTACCCTTAGCTCGTCACGAAGAGATGTCAGAGATCTCTCGTTCTCAAGCTGAGCAAAGGCAAACTCAGCTCGATGCTTCGAGGCAGTGTCCACCATCTGGAGACGCCTATTCCGCTCATGCTCGAGATCGTCGCGTAACCCTTGCGTTACGCGATCAAAGAAGCTCTCGGGAACACACCGATCCACATGATCGTGTGGAGAGCGTCTTTCCTCCTCCTCCACCTCCATTAGAGGACTCTCGCGGTGGCCAGCGCTATCTAGTAGAGCAGCTGTTGAACCACCGCGACGTGAACGGACGTCGGACGAGTTACCTCGTCCTGTGGCGCGGCTATCCCCCGTCCTGGGATTCTTGGGAGCCCCGCTCCCAATTGATGGTTGACGTACTGGGTCTGGTCGAGCAGTACGACGCGACACATCCTGTGCCGCAGAAGGACCGCCGGAGAAAGTCTTCCCGGCACGGTCGTAAAGGGATTTCAGGTTGTCAATCCCTTCGTACATCTCAGTAGAGACACGTACGCGCCACCACGGGCTGGTAAGGAGGTAAGCCTCCTTAGGTGCTCGTGCAGAGTTGTTCACACAACATGGGCACGAGTCTCCCCAAGAGAGGCAGGGTAATCCTTTCTCCCTTGACAGACGATGCAGCTTATAGCGTGCACCTGTCGGGGTTCGCTTTTCAAACTTATCACGAGCTTTGATAAGTTTGTCGTTCCAAGCGTCACGACCTACATCCTCGAGATTATGGATGTAGGCGTTCCACGCCTGAAGTAGTGAGGGACCATCACGTTTGTGATTCCCACTGTACCATCGATGTCTGAAGAAAGCATCGATGAAGAACTCATGTTCAGCGCGATAGTCTTTCGCGCTGGGGTCAAGGTGATGAATCCTCGACGAATCGAACAATCGTGTTCGATAACGATCACTCGTCGTCGCCGACAAGTGATCCATGACAGATTTAGGAGGCATCCATGCCTTCTTTTCTGGAGCGAGACGCAACACATTGCGGTCTCGCTCTTCCTGCGACGTGCCGACAGAAGTACTGGCACCTCGCTGTGAAGTGGTGTCCATAGGAGAACCGACACCACTATTAGCGCCCGAGTCTCGCGACCTCGAGCGCCTTCGCTTCGGCGATGGTTCATCTGATTCGTCAGATAAAACCGAAGATGCTGCGACGCAAAGCATCGTCCATGCCACGCTTGGCAGGCGGCTTGGATTCAATTGCCGTCGATACGGATCCGTCATCCGTATCAGGAGAGTACGAGACACCGAGCTCGTACTCTGTGAAGACACGAGTGTCTTCATGACCAGCGCCTGCATCACCAGGTGATACAGGCTGAGTCGATTCAGCAACCGATGGGATATCAGTTGCTGTAGTTTCTGCTTCGGCGTCCGCACAGAGACGTGCAGACGCGCTCTCGGCGGCCTTGCTCGCGCATCGCATGGGCTTGTTTACCATGCGATGAGATGTTGGAAAGTGGACGCGGACCAACAAGTGCAAACCCCGTCCCAAATGATTTGGGACGAGTATCCATTTAGTCAATCAGTCACTAAAGTGACTGATGGTTAAGGGGGGGGTGATGTAACGGGGTGAATCGTTACATAACAATTTATAAGAAATTGTTAATAGAATATAACTATAAGAGTTATATTCTCAGAGTATTGTCATAAGGACAAATATTCTACAGCACTTACGAGTAGTTCCTAATCGGTTGATATAGGCCATTGTGCCAACCAACTAAGACGCGCCACGACAGACGCACGCAATGAGTGGTGAGCAGATAACTGATTTACACATTTGTATTTAGACATAGTTAGATGAGGATAAATAGTGATTTATAAACGGACATTAACTATGATAAATACAGTTCTACTTTTTACTCTAACCGAGTACTCGCTTCTTCTTACCGTCTTCCTCTGCACGTACGAGTGTACGTGAAGTTACGAGGCACCGCCTTATTCTGTTATCAGAATAAGTAGCTTGTACTGTCACCAGTACAAGCTTCAGGGTGCCCCGTTACAGTTCGATAGGGAAACAAAACGCGTTTGCGAGATCAACATCAATGGCTTCACATGAATAAGTGAGCTACCCAGCAATGCCGCTTGCATATTCTCAGCTGTAGTACGCCTTTTTTTATTTGCGATTATGAAGGGTGGAGCTGGTAGTGACTGTGCACAAGGTAAATGTTGAGCTTTTAAGCATACTAATCTGTGTGTATATGTTTGTTTTTCGTTTAATATCGCGAATAGGTGTACCTTACACGTACCAGAAAAGATTTAGCCGGTCCCCTGATAGGTACATAGACATTCCGAGTCATTTTGTTGGCTAATGTCACTATTATGATTCACGCTTGTAAATGGCTTTGAAATCGATTAAAGCTGAATGTGATCACAATAGCAAATCTCGGACGCTTATAACCAAAGGCTGATGGCGTTCCTTTTAGCATACTGTACTGAGTTACAACTGACTTTATGCAATATACTCATTCTGATGTGAGTAAGTGAGTGAGAAGGTGAGGCGTATTCAAGTACGTTTGCGACCCATTATATCCTCCTGCCTGGTAACAGCGTTACTATAACGAGGTCTACTTTTGTTACTTAGTAGTACTAATCTGCGGACAGCGATCACCTTAGCGCTGGGTATCGCCGCCGAAGAAATGAGGCTCCTTAAATTCAACGCGGTACCCTGTAGTTCTTGGTGTTCCACTTGTAATGTCTACAGCCAGTGGTTGACATCCTTGTCAAGGAATGCCAAAGCTTTCAAAAAAACTGTGCTCTGTAGAAGGATCAACTTGAATGAGTACGTTCTTAAATCGCAATATTTGCCAGTTGATCTGACATTTATATACAGGCGTGATAGAGATGGTCCCATCTGTAGACTTCAAGATTGTCCGCAAGGGCACGTGCCTCCCAAAATAGCGACATCAAGCTGGCCTTCTGCTGGGGACGATGAGTCTAAAATTTGTGAGAGCACCATCGCATTTTCTCCGATGGTATGCAGCGAATAATATTTATACACCTTCGCGTATCGTAGACGGTGCACAATCCCCCAGTATTCGGCTGTCTTGTTTGCGGTATCAGCAGCGCTATACGCCATGCTCGAACCCACAGAACGAAGTGGTGTGCGTAGCAATGTTAAGCAGGACAATAATGGAACCAAATCCGCCTGATTTTAGGTTTTCCCTAGTCCACTTTCGAAGAATAATAGGAAAGTCATACCTATAACGGCGCACCCTGAAGCTTGTACTGATGACAGTACAAGCTACTTATTCTGACGACAGAATAAGGCGGTGCCTCGGAACTTCACGTACACTGGTACGTGCAGAGGAAGACGGTAAGGAGAAGCGAGTACTTGGTTAGAGTAAAAAGTAGAACTGCATTTATAAAAGGTTAATGTCTGCAAAAAACCACTATTTATCTTCATCTAACTATGTCTAAATACAAATGTGTAAATCAGTTATCTGCTCACCACCCATTGCGTGCGTCTGTCGTGGCGCGTCTTCGTTGGTTGATATAATGGCCTATATCAACCAATTAGGGACTACTCGTAAGTGCTACAGAATATTTGTCCTTATGACAATATTCTGAGAATATAACTCTTATAGTTATATTCTATTAACAATTTCTTATACATTGTTATGTAACGATTTATGCCGTTGCATCACCCCCCCCTTACCATCAGTCACTTTAGTGACTGATTGACTAAATGGATACTCGTCCCAAATCATTTGGGACGGGGTTTGCACTTGTCGGTCCGAGTCCACAGTCCAATAATTTCATCGCATGGTAACAAGCCCATGCGGTGCGCACACAAGGCAGCTGAGAGCGCATCTGCACGTCTCTGTGCAGACGCCGAAGCAGAAACCGCTGCAACCAATGTGCCATCAATTGCCATAGCGTCTCAGTCTGTATCACCTGGTGATGCAGGCGCTTGTCATGAAGACACTCATGTCTTCTCCGAGTATGAGCTCGGTGTCTCGTACTCTCCTGATACGGAAGAGGGATCCGTATCGAAGGCGTTTGAAACCAAGCCGCCTGCCAAGCGTGGCATGGATGATGCTACTCGTCGTAGCATCTTCGGTTTTATCTGACGAATCAGATGAACCAGCGCCAAAGCGAAGGCGCTCAAGATATTAAGACTCGGGCGCTCACGGTGGTGTCGGTTCTCCTATTGACACCACTTCGCAACAAGGTGCCAGTACTTCTGTCGGCACGTCGCAGGAAGAGCGGGACCGCAGCGTGTTGCGTCTCGCTCCCGAAAAGAAAGCATGGCTGCCTCCAAAGTCGGTCATGGATCGCTTGTCGGCGACGACAAGTGATCGCTATCGAACACGATTGTTCGATTCATCAAGGATCCATCACCTTGACCCCAGTGCGAAAGACTATCACACTGAGCATGATTTCTTCATCGATGCTTTCTTTAAGCATCGATGGTACAGTGGGAATCACTAACGTGATGGTCCCTCACTGCTTCAAGCGTGGAACGCTTACATCCATAACCTTGAGGATGTAGGTCGTGACGCTTGGAACGACAAACTTATCAAAGCTCGTGATAAGTTTGAAAAGAGAACTCCGATAGGTGCACGCTGTAAGCTGCATCGTCTGTCTAAGGAGGGTGGGTTACCCTGTCTTTCCTGGGGAGACCCATGTTCTTGTTGTACGAAGGGATTGACAGCCTGAAATCCCTTTACGACCGTGCCGGGAAGACTTTCTCCGGCGGTCCTTCTGCGGCACAGGATGTGCCGCGTCGTACTGCTCAACCAGACCCATTACGTCAATCATCATTTGGGAGCGGGGCTCCCAAGTATCTCTGGACGGGGGATAACCGCGCCACAGGACGAGGTAACTCGTCCGACATCCGTTCACGTCGCAGTGGCTCAACAGCCGCTCAATCAGATAGCGCTGGCGACCGCGAGAGTCCTCCAATGGAGGTGGAGGAGGAGGGAAAACGCTCTCCAAACTATCGTGGGGGAGCGTGTGTCCCCGAGAGCCTCTTTGATCGCGTAACTCTTGCGTTACACGGCGATCTCGAACATGAGCGGGACAGGCGTCTCCAACTGGAGGACACCGTCTTGAAGCATCAAGCTGAGTTTGCCTTTGCTCAGCTTGAGAACAAGAGAGCTTTGACGTCTCTGCGTGACGAGCTAAGGGTAGCTCGTGTGGATATTGACCGGTCTCGGGATGAGATAGCTGCTCTTCAGACCCTTGTTGATATCCACCATCGGGAGCACAAGGCTCTCTGCGAGATGCTTGAGCGCAAGGGCGTTCTTCATCGGAAGAAGCAGCGTACTGATGGTACGGCTTAAGCCGACCAACGTAAAACGTGGGATGCGTTCGCATCTTACGTGGTAACTCGATCGTGTATGCATTGACTAGGCGGTGCAATACACGAAATGGGCCGATGTACTTGGGTAGTAGTTTACTGCTACCCAAGTTAGTCACTACATGCTTTGGTAGATTAACCGTAGACAGTAGGACTGAGTCACTTTTTTTAAGTAAAAGAGTGTTTTCTCTTCCATTCTTGTCTGCGTTTTGCTTTTGCTTATCCACCGCTTTGGCGATGGAGTCTTGCACAAAACGGACTACCGTTTCACGAGCCAGTATGAACTCATATGATGACTCGTTAGCTTCAGTGCGCTGTGAGTGCACTGCAGCAACATCAACCTTTTCTTCAGTGAGGGCTTCCTCGCTCTCACTGGCATCATCTTCTTCGATATCGATGTTATCGATATCGGCATCAAACGCAATGATCTCATCGTCAGAGCGTGATGAGCGTGATGAGCGTGAACCAAATCGGTTTTTGCTCGCGCGAGTCCCCCCCCCTTAAACCAGAGTTACACTCTAGTAAGGTGGGTACACGCGGATGGCGCAAGTCATTCACGTAAAACGGTGTATGTGTCGTGGACGCATGCACCGAGCTGTTAATGGCAAATCTACCATTGGCAAGAACTCACTCCAACACTTAAAGGAGTGTACGTATTCTCAAAGTATCTCTTCGAGGACACGATTGGCTCGTTCCGTCTGACCATCTGACTCTGGATGATCAGATGCCGACATATTCAAGCGCGTTCCGAGTGATTTGAACACGGAACGCCAGAAATCAGCAGTAAAGCGTGGATCTCTGTCTGATACGAGTTCACGGGGCAACCCATGAAGTCGGAAGATGGTGTCAATAAAGACACAAGAACAGCCACTTGCTGTGATTGACTCGGGTACAGCCACAAGGTGCACCATTTTGCTAAATCTGTCAACAAATACGAGAATACCCGTATTACCGCGTGCGTCTTTGGGTAACCCGAAGACGAAATCTATTGAGATGGATTCCCAGCACTCTGCCGGAACTGGTAGAGGATGTAAAGGTGCACGCAGTGAAGGACTTGACTTCACTCGTTGACAGACTTCGCATGCGCGAACATACTTGCGCACAAACTGATACTGGAGGGGCCAGTAAAAGTCTCGACTTACCGTGAGATATGTTTTCTCTCGGCCACGATGTCCTCCTATAGGAGCATCGTGATACTCGAACATGATCCGCGAACGCAGATCAGTATCATTTGGAATGACAACACGTGGTGTGTCACCAGAAACGGCTGTATAATACAGTAAACCGTTACGAGTAGTGTATCGATCTAATGCAGATCGATGCGCAGACGATAATCGTTTCAACGATTCTCGAGATGGTTGTGAGAGATGTGTCAACAACTTCACAATCTCACCATCTTGTGCATACGCCTGCCTCACATCATCATATATTGTTAAAGATGGTACTGAGGACGTCATATACGCAACAGTGACTGTCTCGCTGTTGGGTTTCACAACTGGTTCAAAGTCGGGACGACGTGAGAGTGCATCAGCGACGACGTTAAGTCGTCCTGGTTTGTACTCGACCGTAGAGTTGTTTTCTGCAAAGAATGACAACCACCGTGCCGTTCGTTGTGAAAGGTGCGGGCTGTTCACTGCCGTGCGTAATGACGCATGGTCAGTGTAAACAATGAAGGGTCTATCTCCTAATAGATAGACTCTGAACTTTGCCAGTGCATACTTTATGGCAAGGAGTTCCTTGTCATGCACTGGATAGTTCCGCTCAGCTGGTTGCAGCTGACGCGACTGATAGCAGACGACGCGTTTAACGCCTTCAAGATCGTACTGCATTAGTGCACAGCCGATTGCGAAATCGCTGGCATCACAGACCACATGAAATGGCCTTTCCGGATCGACAATTGCTAGGGCTGGGGATTTTATCAAGCTCTGCTTGATACCATCAAAGGAGCGCTGACATTCAGCGTTCCATAACCACCTCTCGTTCTTTTTCAACAAACGAGAGAGGTGCACAGTCATCTCGGCGTAATTGAGTGAATACTTATGCAAATACGCCGCTAGCCCAAGGAATTTTCGAAGACCTTTGACATCGACCGGCACAGGCCAGTCGGTGATCGCCTTGATCTTTTCGGGATCAGGACGTACTCCGTTCTTACCAACGATGCACCCAAGAAGTGGTATTTCGCTTGCTGCGAATATACACTTCTTGAGGTTTGCATACAATTGATGCTTCCGCATGATTGTAAGAACCTGTCGGACGTGGTACCTGTGAACCTCAACATCCGACTTTCCCTCCATAGCCCGACTATGGATGAATACGTCATCGAAATAACTCGGTGCAAATTCTCGTACTGTTCTCAATAGATGTGATACACATCTGTTGAACGTGGCAGGGACATTACTAAGCCCTTGTGGCATTACTAGCCACTCCCAGAGCATGCCGCTAGGCGTGCTGACTGCGGTATAGGGTATATCCCGTTCCCGCATAAGGATTTGATAGAAGCCATCCATCAAATCCATGGACGAAAAGATGGTACTCTTTGACATGTCATCAATGATTACGTCCTTCCTCGGTATCGGCGTCTGAGCCGGTACCGTTGCAGCATTCAACTTGTTAAATGCATGCACTATCCGCCACCCTCCTGTTGCTGTTCGCACACAGAAGGTCGGAGAGCTATGTGGGGAAGTTGATTACCTCACATGGCCCACAGCTAAACGATCGGCAAAGAACTTGTCGATCGCAAGTACTTGTTCACGAGGCAGTGGCCACTGCTTCATGACACAGTACTTCGAGCCTGGTTTAAGCTCGACCTCGTGTCGAATACCTTTATCCTTCGATAATTCGCACGGAACAGTTTCAGGGAATACATCCATGAATTCAACCAAGTCTTCATAGAGAGGATTTGTCTTGAGCGATTCCCACGATTGGGAGTCATATCGCTCAACTCGTGTCTTTTCATCGAGGACGCTCTCGTCCATATATGAACTACTGAGAACTTTCTCGATCTCAGTAAACACTGTTGCTGATCTTATGTCGGCTACGCACTCGTCGTCAGCGACGAGTACGCAGATCTGCTTGACTTTGCCACTGCGCAGATCACGCAAGAACCTTTTATGTTCGAGCGTTGGCAACTGAGTGATCTCCGAAGTCAACTTCGGAGGCGCAATCAGATCAAGTGTATAAGCACCTACACTTGATCCGTTATTGACTATGACATTCAATGTCTCTGTCATTTCTTGGGGTCTTATTCCCTCAGGCCTCGAAGGACTTATTCCTTCGGCTTCCCGGGGACTTATTCTTTCAGGTTTCGGGGAACTTATTTCCGCCGTATTTGTAATATCGGGACTTACTCACTTAACTTCCTCAAGCTGGGGTTGCGCAACCACAGCGAAATCCTCTACGAAAGACTCTCCAGTCGATCTAGGATTATCGTTTCGCTTAGCCTGAGCGATCGATTGTTTCTCTTCTAGATATTCCCCGCTAGGGATGCATCTTTGTCCCGGTCCACTCGTCTTATTCGAGTGGTGGACCTTCGGCGCAGCCTGTGTTTCCTCACAGCCGCCGGAACTTTGCTCCGAAGTGTAACTGTTTGTTACACCAAGGTTTTGTGCAGTCGCACTAACGACCGTACCACAAGTGAGGCCATCGCACTCACTCGTAGTACATCCACACGCTTGTGGACGCTCCAAAACGTTCATCAGATGGCCATCTGATGAGCAAGCGGCAGGCATCGTTACTGTTCGATGTTGCCAGTTTACCAGTGGTTCGTACCTTCTGAGCCACGGTATTCCAAGAATGACATCGTATTTGTCATTTAAATTCAATACGATAACGTCATCATCATATTGGGTAACTTCTAGCGTATAGTGTATCTTTACTATACGCTTCATGACGGTTACGGATGCGCCTGTCGCAAGACGTACCGCCATCCTCGTAGGAGGTGTGTCACATTCACTGAATTTAAAGTGACCATCTTCTAGCGATTGGCGTCGCACAAAATTGTTGGACGCCCCACAATCGAATAGAGCTCGAAGGGAAAACTTATTCGTCACTTCGAGTTTCAAGGTAATGAGTGAGATCCCATGGCCTAGAGCAGCAACGCACAATGTTTGTGTGTTGGGAGCAACCTTCATCAAGAGGCCTACAAATTATCTTGACGTTGCTGGACCAGTAGGGTGCTCCGCAACTACTGATCCTGTCCGTTTTTGACGGTCCATCCCGTTGTTGCGTCTTTGCACCAACAGCGGACCCGCGTCCCTGCCTCTTTCTCATGGATGGACGGTCACTACGCCCAGTGTTGCGAGACACTGGACGAGGGCACTACACTCGTAAGCGTAGTGTCCTGTCTTTTGACATCTGTTGCATCTCTGCAACTTCTTGTAGTCTGTAGAGCGAGCCTTCTCGCTCTTTACATAACAGAGTTTCATCGGCTCTGGACCTCCGTTGTCATATCGTCTCGGTTGACGATATGATGTCGAGCTGGCGCGAGCCTGTCTCAGACTGAAGTCTTCCTGCTCCGCAATGGAAATGGCTTGTTCTAGTGAATCTAGTTCAAGTCGGAACAGGTGAGTCTTGAAGGGACCATCCTCAAGACCCTGCATGAACACCGAAACCAACGTGTGTTCATCCACCGGATTGGAACTTATACAACTCGTGAGATGTCGTATATGTTGAGCGTAAGCGTGTACATCACGCTTACCCTGCTTGAGCTTCAAGAGTTCGGTTAGAGCTCTGAACTCAGCTCTAGGCGGTTTAAACGTTTGTCTGAGCCGCGACTTGAAGACTTCTAACGACCCAATCGCATGTGGGTCGTGCAACTTGAGCCCCAGTGCCCAAGTCTTGGCACGTCCTGCCAGATTTGACTGGGCAAATGCAAGTTGAATATCCCCGTCGTCGATGCGACGCGCCCTTGTGGCGTCGTCTAATTCGACGAACCATCTCAAGAGGGAGTCTTCTTCGACCCCCCTATACTTTGAGATGTCAATC